CTGCTCTTCTACAATTGTAGGACTTAACTTCTTTATTCTATGTCATACTTCATTTTCTTTTAATAATTAATAATATCCATATTTTAATATTTTTTTATTATATCTTCTTATAATCGTCTCTATTTGTCATATTTCTTTTTATGCACATATATTTTTTTCGTATAAAATATTCTCATATAAAAACTTAAAGATAATTTAAAGGATTTTTTGTTAATTCAAGTGTCCATATTATTAATCATGTGTTTAATATTTATAAAAATAAAAATATATAACCTCTATTTTTTTGAAGTCCATTCTATGTATAGATATTTTTATACATTAAAAATAGCTTCTATTTGATTCAATAGGAAAAAAAAGCTATTAGCCACTAACTTGAAAATAAATTGTAATGGTATATTACTATAGTTATGTTGTTAAAGTCCTTTCTTATTTTATGTCATGATAAATGGTAGCTATTAGTAGTCTATATTAATATACTCTTATTCTTCCTTGCTAACACCATTTCATCTAATTTCTTTAACCTTCTTTATAATTCTACTTAGATTTATTATCTCCATTTTCTTCTCAAGTTTATGTGATCTAATTGCCTCTAATTGTTTTGTCTCTTTTTTCAACATCACTCAAATCTTATTTTATTGAACTTATTCTAATTATTTTTATTATTAATTTCTTATCCAAAGATACATTATATTAAGATATTTTGCCTATTAGTTCTTACATTATATAACATCGTTATTTTTTCTCTCAAGCTTTTTGTAGCTATGAATGGTAGAAGTATATAGTATATTATAGATTAGGTGGTTGGAGCCAATTTTATCAAATTCTTTGGTAGGCATTGTTTTTATTTTTTAAAAAACGTTTTTTAGATGTAAGTAGAAATTGTATATTACAATTGATATCAACAAAAAAAATTACAACTTTATTATCTCTTTCTATTCTTCTTATTTTTCTTATTGCTTATAGATTTTAATTTATATATATATATATATATTTTTTTTTTACTTAGATTTTTTTTTAGATTCACTTTTTTCTATTTAAGTTTAAAAAAGAGCTTGTTGAAGAACATCTTTTAGGCGTCTTACATATATCATAGAAGAATTGCTCTAATTGACTTAAAGATTTTAATTCTTTGTATTTTTTTTGTTAGTTGAGGTTGATGTTTTGTATCCAATAATACTTCTCTATAAAGTAATTCATAAGGCATGTGCACAATATGTTTAAAGAACCTTAGTATTTTATAATTATATGAAGAGAAGCCAAGCTTAAGATAATAGATATTATTTTTTGTATTACTTCTAATGATTATTGATTGAAGAGGTTTTATTTTTTATTTTTTTTCAACTATTCTACTTAATAAGTTGGTCTAATTTTCCTTTTAGTTTTCTTAATACATTATTTTTAATCTTTTCTATGTATATATTTTTTTATTATTTATTCTCTTACTAGATCCAAGCATGTGTAGTTTATTAGGATTTTTTATTTTTAAAAAACCTTTTAGTCAATTGCCAACTCTATTTCTTCCAAACCAATTATTACACTTCTTTTGAATTTATTTTATTTTTATATAAAAAATTATAGGTTTACTTGTGGTTATTATAAAAAGTAAGGTAGTATCCTAATCTTATGTCAATCAGAACTTATTGTTTGTTCTTGTTTGGTTTTAATTTTTAATTTTTAATTTTTTTTTTCCTTTTTTGCTAGCTTAAAATACATGAGCATGCAACATTTATACTACTAGTTAGCCTAGACATGCATTTAAGCTTCCATTTGCACTTTCTTGCATTCCATTGTTTCCATAGGTTTAATTATCATTTTTATATTGCACAATCTTTCTAACCAACTTGGATTATCTTGTTAATCTATCTCATTATTTCTTATTTTTTTATTCCTTTTTCATTTCTATCACTTTTCTACTTGCTTATTATTATAATTTTGATAAGCTTGGTAGATACTACAAATGTGAAGGACAGTAACTAGAACCAACAAATATTATGTTTATGGTTATGTTTCCTTCTAAGTTAATTTGAGTGTTTGTAAATGGGCTCTAGTAAGTTCATTTTAATGAGGAGAAGGTACTAAATGCATGATAGAGCCAAAAAGATGCATTTGAAAAATGTATTCAGGAATTTTGAGGAATAGTGGTTTTATATTGAAATCACACAAAAGAACATCAAATTGTGAATTGGGAGCTCACAAATATTGTTGTGAAACAATTTAAACCAACATATATACTTACTATAGTCTAACTAAAAGACACATTCATTCAGATTAAAGATACAAATGCACGTTATAATCACACATTTGAATGTTACTTTTAGCTTTTGAAAAAATAAAATAACAAAAATTACATATATATATATATATATATATATATATTTATTTATTTTATTTTTCTGAAAATTTGAAATCTTTGCTTAAGTATATTCTACAAAAAAAATCGTACAAGTATTCAAATAAATACTCATTGCAAAATTAACATGAGTGAAGACTTATATATATATATATATATATATCAGTTATCTGAGCTGTAAAATTAGAATTCAACTACAACAAGCATTGAGTTGACATGTCATTTGATTCAAAATCTGGATAAACGGTTTTGAAGACATGCATTTGGAACCTTGACTTTTGTAATCAGTATAAAGACTCTTGATACAATTGTAGTAGGCAATTCTTTAAATAATTAACATACAGAAAATTCTCAGTGTTTTGTAAGATATATTAGATATTTTAGTTACATTAAAATATTATGGCACCATAATTTGACTTTTAATTTTGATTGTATAAATTATGGTACCATCATTTTATGGCTATAACACGTTGAAGCCTGACCAGTATTTGAGTTATTTAAACTGAAAGTTAAGCTTGACTATCAGTTTAAAATATATAAAACAGCTAAATATATATATATATATATATATATGAAGATTTTGTTAAAATCAAACAGATTTTGGAAGTTAACATACTAATAGAACGTCAGAATTGGCTTAGGATTAGCATTTAGCATGCAAGAATTGAATATACAATGTTTGATCTGTCATATAACTGAACAGATTATTTTATTTGTAATATGAACGGAATAAAATAAGTAGATTAAATAAAAAAACAGATCATGATAATCCAAAAAACAAATATCAATATTAATAATAAATGCTTGTTAGTGGGCTCCATAGAAAATATTAGTATTGTTGTGTTCCTATCATTTTCACACCAAATAAAGTAACGTATAAAATATTCATGAAAATTATACCACAATAATATTGTATAAACATTTTCTATATTCTTCATAATACTTTATTTCTTTTCTTTTTGTGTTTGGTTCAAATTTCCATTTAACCACAATATTCTCATTTGTATGGTTTCATGTGATGAAAGCAATAGAGTTTAATAAGCTGTTGAAAAGAATAGACATAATTCTTTTCAATTTTTATTTATTTAGTTCAAGAATGGAGATTGCTAACAACCATCCTGAATTTGATTGAGGCCAATGCACCACCAACAAAATGTGGGCAGAGGAATGACCGCTTTTAAAGAGGAGGGTGACCATTCCAGTCAGGAACTGAGCTTGTGAGTCCTCTTGGACATGCACATTCCGACCAGAAAAAAGCATAATGCTAATCTAAACCATGCAAAATCCACTGCCGTTATGGGACACCCCTCAGGTTCCAGAAGTTTTGACTGGGTTACAGGCTGAATGAATGAAAAAATATGGACGAATGTGTGAAGATGGATGACATTCTGCATGACCCACATGTCCAAATCATTGCTTCTACACACTCCCTACAACATTACATTTGTTATTTGTTATTTTTATTTTTCACATCTCATGCTGGAATCTAACATCAAATTTAATTCAGAGAGAAAACTGGTGTCCACCAAAGAATGCCTCAGAATTGCCTGGGTCTATTCCCAGTGTACCCTCATTTTCCATTCCAGCCGAAACTATCCTTGTCATGTACCCAAGCTCTTACACACTCCAAGAAATGTGATACAACCAACTTCCACCTGCTGAATGCAAAGGAGGAGGTGTGTCACAAGGAAAGTGCTTGAAATTTCTTCAACTTTATCTTCTTAGATGCATTATTTTTGGAAGAAATGAACTAGGAATGTCAATGATGGGGAGGAGCAGAGACAACATGGATTCATGGTTTCTCATTCTTCTCTTCTATGACCCTCTATTGCTCCTTCTTGTGGTGTTTTTCTGACACATGCATCTATGTTATAAGGACTTCAGCACTGTTCCTCTATCTTGGAATAGGCTGGATGCTTGGATGCCTGGATGCCTTTCTAAATGAGATGAAATATTAGAATTGTTTAATGGGATCTTCAAAAGACTGCCCACTAAAGTCTGTTTCAAGGCTTTTATTATGATCCATGTACTCCATGTTGGTCAATCCATGACACCTCAGCTCCACTGGGAATCCCAAAACTTTCAAATCCTGCCAAATGTTTCAAAATGTGGGACCCACATGGCAACCAGCCTGGAATTTAAAAAAAAACATAAACATACATATGAATATACATAGAAAGCCATTGTTTAGAATCCATTCATTACAGTGTCCTGCAACAGGACAGTGAAAGAGTATTATAAGCTGGATATTAGGGCTTCTTCTCACCAAACTAAATGTATAATATTTTAACACATTCGAGGATGGCTTTTTCTCTTTTTTTAAGTTTTAGGTCATATATATATATATATATATATATTACTAGGGTTTATACTGATCCATAACAACGCAATGAGAAGAAGAAAAGAAGGGCGAATAAAAAGTATGGAACCAAGCACAACGTGAGACCTTCCACCTCGCAGCTACAGGTGATGAGGTCTCATGGCCTACCTAGCTCTCCCTACCTAGGTTGGAAGGTTCGGAGACAGGAGGGTCGGAAACCCTACCTCATGGTTGGAAGGTTCGGATATAGGAGGGTCGGAAACTATACCCCAGGGTTGGTAGCGGTGTCGCTTAACTGGCGAGCCAGCCGACTCTACGAGGTCAGCACCCGCACCGCGATTGCTCCTCCGCTCGCCGTCCTCGCCATCATCCGCGTCAGAGTGCGCCCAATTGAGCATCAGCAGCGGTAGCCCTCAGCGTTGCTCATCGACGCGCTAACTCACAGTTGTACCCCCTAATTGACATAAAAAAAAATGGGGCCAAATCAAGTTATGGTAGCTGGGTGGTATAGGTGTAGTTTTGGTTTTCTTCCCCTGATGGCTCAGATGATCCGAGCAATCGTCGTCATGAGGTTTTGGGATTTTCTTTAGGGGTGTTTGGGGTGCCGAGTTGGTGGAAGTATTGTGTCGGTGACAGATTTTTAGGCTCGATCTTCGGTAACTAGAAGCTGAAAGAGGGTGTGTGTCTGTCTGTCTGTGTGTGCGATTGTGGGGCTTCGTGAGTGAGGAGGTGTGCTTGACGTTTCTTAATTTGGTGCCAAAAGAGTGAAAAGAAGCCTGAAAGGTGGATGTTATGAGCTGAAAGGTGCGATGGTGTTTTCGCCGCTTGAAGTGATGGAGGAGGGACTTGATTCGGTTGCTTTGGACATGGATCTTGCACCTTGGGATGGACAGGTATGGTATTCCCTTGGGTGCGTGTAGTCTGTGGGTTTATACCGAAGTTAACACGTCAGTTGGATGGGTTAGACACAGCACAAATTATGTGTACAAGGGATGACGGATGCATGACGATCGTTACATTCCGTTGTTAGATCTTTGCGTTTGGGGTGCGCAATGCGGAAGATGTTACAGGAGTATGAATTTTGCAGTCTACCGGCTGTTTCATTTTTTTGATATTGAGGGTGTTGAGTAGTAGCGTTTAGAACTTTGATCAACCGGGAGGTCCTGCTCGAACGAAATGTTTAGAAGGTGGCACAGTTGCGTTTCTTGAATAGCGCTTTTAATCCTTCCTAGAGCCGAGGGCCCAGCGAATTGTTCGTATAACTCATTACTGTGTCGTGTATCAGGGGCCTGTTCGCTTTTACTGACAATTGGTACGTTTACAGGTGTATATGGTACCCACATCGTTCGGTCAAATATCCGTTACCGTTTGCGGAGATCAAGACAAGCCTGCTCTCATCACCTACCCGGACGTTGCACTGAATTGTACGACTCGAATTTCTTTTCCCGCACAAACACCCATACACACACGACATTGGCTAATAAAGTTCCAGTGAGTATCTGCATTAGCTTCTGACACTGAAATCTGGATGCAGATTTATCTTGCTTTGAGGGGCTGCTCTCTTGCCCCGAAGCTGAATCGGTGCTCTTTCACCATTTTTGTATTTTCCACATTGACCCACCCGGTCACGAGTTTGGGGCACCCGAAAACGCTTCTGAGCATTCATCACTATCCGCTGATGATTTAGCTGATCAAGTGGCTGAAGTCTTGGATTATTTTGGGTACGTTCGTCAGAATCTTTAGTTTTGTCCTGTATCCTTTAGTTTTATTTTCTCTGTCATTTGCAGCATTTTATGAAGGAAAACGTGATTAGCTGAGCAGTTAGGGGTAACCATTTCGATTATGTTTTGAGAAGTGCAGACTGGACGAGGTCATCGGTTTGGGAGTCACTGGTGGAGCATATATCCTGAGTTTATTCGCTGTGCGTGTTTAAACCACATCTTTGATTTTCCTCTGTTTCGTTGAAAATGTCTGCAACTTTTAGAACGCCAGCGATGTTGCTAGTTACGCCAATTTTAGTCTGAATAAAGTCTCATAAAAAATTTCTTGGTGGTGCGCAGTGCAAGCACGCAGAACGTGCATTAGGGTTGATTCTAGTATCACCTCTTGCCCGAAGTCCATCGTGGACTGAATGGCTGCACAATCAGGCTATGATTAGCCTCCTTTACTTCTGTGGCATGACCGAGTTCGTCAAGCAAAGGCTTCTTCAGCGTTACTTCAGTTCGGTGAGCATTCTTGTTTATCAAGCACGAATCGATTTTTTTTATTTTTATTTTTATTTTTTTTGTATAGTTGATCTAATGTTAGATGCTGAACATTCCATTCAGGCTATATAGAGAAATAACAGGATTTGAATATCATTTTCCAGGGAGTTCGTGATGCTGCTGCTTCTGTAGGAGGGACATACAAGCTAGCAACTATCCGCGGGGTAAGCGACATTAGTTTCTGATGAGAACGAATGTCTGAGGGCAAAGCAAGTGCCATCTGCTTAGAGAGGTTGTTTTGTCCTCTTCTGCACCACTTTTCTTACTTGGGACCTGATCGTCGAGTGTTTCGTGACCTGTGTAGTTCATGGACCAAGGACGCAGTAAATGCTTCATGCATTATCTGCAAGCCATTCATCACAGGCGGGGCTTGACTGAGGAATTGAAGAAATTGAAGTGCCGAACCCTCATACTAGTTGGTGATCAGTCGCCCTTTCACCCGGAAGCTATGCACATAAGTGAAGTCATGAATAGACGTTACAATGCGTTGATTGAGGTGAGATTAACCATGCCACTCTTGGTCCTACAATGCAGCACTCAAATTTAGTCTCGTTTCATTCGCTTGGATGTTGTGAAATAAATGGTCATCTGACTGCCTGTCCCATTCATGTTTTTCAGGTTGAAGGATGCGGATCTATAGTAACAGAGGAGCGACCGCAATCTATGTTGGTTCCAATCGAGTTATTCCTCATGGGCTATGCTTTCTACGAACGGTCATTAAAATCTGCGCTTTCTAGTCCTAGAAGTCCGTTGAGCCCACCCTGCATGGCTCCTGAGCTCCTCTCTCCGGAGAGCCTTGGATTGAAGCTGAAACCCATCAAGACGCGCGTACCTGTGCATTAGCATGCACTACGTCAGTGTAAACATTTGATACATAATTAGGTGTTAGATAGTCTACAACCATTCTCTGAGCATTATGCTTCTTATCATTCATTGCCGCCATCATGCACCATTCCTGCAATGTTAGTTACTCAAGAGCTTAGTTTTGCACATTACGAGAACCCAATATGATGTGGCCCGAACTTCCCCACTCTGCCTGAGTGATGAGATTTTACAAAGTGACAGCTGATCCAAGTTTCATTTACATAAAAACTTTGTACATTAGAATTTTACCCTCCACTTGGATGTTCTGAAACATCTACCAAAGTGACTACTGTATTTAGGATGGTTAACTTGCATCTAACTTGGATTGCATACGTATGAAATTGATAATTGGAGGTTTGCAAGGTTTACGCTGCAAAGTTGCTAGCCTCAAGTCCTACCGATTCATTCCAAAATCCCCTCAAATTCTACTAATCCATGTGTGGAATTCATCTCTTTGATTCGAGTCGTTTGGGAGTCTCCCTCAACTATTACGTATCAGGAGGTTCGCTACCATTCTCAACTGTCAACAACTGCTTTCTCTGTCCCATTCACATCCCCGAGCGGACGAAGTGCACGCTCAACCGTTACACATGGGGCAACTCAAGGCCGCAGCACATTGGCATCTTTTGGTAAGCCCGCCAGTATAATGGGATTTCAAAACAGAGAAGAACAGTGGGGAGACTGACCTTGCAGCCCGCCAACAAATCGCCAGAGAATCAAATCGAAGTGGTGGAGCAGTAGCGCTGTTGTCCTGGCGACAAGATGGAAACTGTAGACGTGTGTCAGAAGTGCGTTAATTTGATGGAATCAATCTACTGGAGTCAAATGAAGACTCGCGCATACCGCACGCACTGCCATGACATCACCTTGATTGTGAGCAAATTGTGGCCGACTTTAGTGGAAACGTTACAAGAGCGGAATCCGAATCTGTGCGACGTTGCCGGGGCAGAGTAAGTACTTTTGCATTTCACCGCATCATGTGATTGCCTAAATAGCATGTACGACATTATACCTCTCACGCAAACAAAGGGTTGTCATTGAAAATAAGAATTTCGTGTGACAATAGAATCTTGGAATATCTTTCAATAAGTTCACGGCATCCTCCAGAAAGCGCTCCTTACTCTGTCTAGGTCAGTAAAAGCTTTCAGTGGCTAGAAACACAATGTACGAAATTAACCAACTAACCAGCCAGGTAATGTGCATATGAGATTAGGTCGTCCAATTCCTGGCAATCTCAAATTGTGCAGATATACTCCGTTGCCATTGAATGAATATTCGTCTTGGCCCTTTCGCCCTGAGCTGGCAAATTTTACCACATCTATTGTCAACTTCAGCTTGTGGAAATGTCGAAGTATGGGACTATACTAGTCTGTCGCAACAGATTCCTATGTACATTGATCATTCTCAACTGCAACACCAGAGCATACTACACTTCGCCCAATTACTAATGAGATTTTATTTTTCTTTTCCCATTCTTATGGATTGGTGAAATCGTGAAAATGCGCATGAATGTGGATAGGCAGGAAGGTATTCGGTGGTCTAAAAGCAGAATTGGAGAACTCATTGATGATAGTGAAAAAGTGCTGCGCGATGAGACAATTTGACAAATTACTCGACCATGGTGATACGAAGCGGTTTCTTACCATATACCGTGACAATCTTTTCTTGCGATCTCGTGAGGTGCGAATTTTTTCAATCTGCATCAGAGTCTATGATATTTATCTTACGCAATCAGCCCTTGAAGTCTCCCATATTGTCACGCAGTTAGCGAGCAACTGGAGGTACAGCAGCTCCACTAATCAATGGAGCAAGAAATTCTAAGAAAATAATCTCGCATGAGTATCAATGATTATTGAAATGTACTAAGATACAGAGATATCCATAGGACGTTTTAATCTCTGCACAATGCTGCAAACTATAAACAAAAGATTTTACTAACCTTTCAGTGTGCTGCCACAGGCACACGAGTATATAATGCACGTGTGTCCACCCAAAGGTAGGAGGAAGACGGCAGTATTGACAACTATGTTATCACCGCCAAACTCAGATGGTAGCGGTTTTGATCCTACTAGGCGGTTTTCCTAGAGTGAGAATGCGAGTATGACGATTACTTTCATGAAACAATGTCCATGACAAGATATTGAGTCCGTCACACATAGCTGAATAATGTGTTATCTCCCAACTACTGTACATTCAGGCCGAACATGATGACTGGAGAATCCTTTGCGCATCCGGTGTAGTTGAAGTACTCCGGTCGGTGTTCCTAGTAAACAGTGGTTCATGCTTTTCAAGATAGTCCAAGCTCGCTCGAACACAGTAAATCTCGAAGTGAGTGGAGAAGACGTGTACACATCCTGCCATGTGACATGTTCCAATGAGGCAAGAACTTGCTTGTCCAATTCCTCCTTTGCATCCAGCAACTTCGTCTCCAAAATCAATTGCCCAGGAGCAGACGCACTTTGTGGTTTCGACCAAAAAAGGATCCCCTCAGCGAGGTTCATCACATTATGGCGGCAGCAGGGTTCACAAATTCCAGGTAATTGCATCCTCATGAAAAGCTTTGATGGCTTGCTCCGAATGCTAGCGCTGAAGAGGACGAAAGTAGGTATATAATTGGTACTACAGAAGATTTGCTGCCAAAAAGGGCGATGTAAGCATTAATCCACAGGGCTGGGAACGAGGCTGAACCATCCGTTCACTGGGTCTGTCTTAGGGCCTGCCATGGGTATGAATGGTAGAAGATCTTGTTGTACCCGTTGATCAGCCCCACTTCCTGTAGAATGTAGCGAGCCTTCACTTGCAGAACGAACGATGCCTTTACCAATTTTACTTGGCTCCTGGTTGGCCGAATCTTCCAGAGCTCCCTTGCCATCTACTTCATGGTCGTTTAAAGTGCATTCTGGAGAGTCTAGTTTTGACAGAGCCTCGGAAACTGAGTTGATGCTAGAAACATTATGCGGGAGACATGAGAGATGTGAATTCAATGCCGAACAAAATGTGCAACTCTTGCTTCGAATCATAGATGCTGCAGCTATAGCTGCGGCGGCGGCTGTAGATTTCCATTCGAAGCTCTCTTCCCTGACTTCTTGGTCTCCTTTTAGCTTTCGGGTCCTAGGAGAATCGAGTGTCGAGAGATGTTCATCCATCTTGTAGCTTGATGCTGAGGCTGAGCGAAGCAATGACGGGGCAAACTCACTTCGTGATGTTTCTGCACACTCTGGAATCCATCCTCGCAAACTTTCTCGAGAGTGATAAAACTCCCAGGCTCGACAACTGCCTGCAGCTGCTGCTAGTGCAGCTGCAATAGACTCTCTGTGTTGGACTTCGCACTCTTGTTTGTGTCTTTCTTCCCTTCGTAGCATTTGCAATTTGAGCTCCTCTATTTCCGCCTGCGTCCACAGAAGAGAGAGCACGTTTATCTGGTAAACCGAGATCGATGCATCCAATTGAAAAGTAAATGGTGCTCTGAACCTTCCTTAAAATGTTGCTACTGATAGACGACAATTCATACCTGTGCGGTTTCAAGCGCCTTGCTTTGAGACGAAACAACTGCTTCCAAATCGCGAATGCGAAACTCCAGCACCGTCTTCGCATTCTCAGCTTGTACACGTGCCCTTATTTGAAATTCTAATGCGTGGGTCAATTCCGTTACTTGAGCCGAGTTTGCATCTGATTTTTCCACTTGGCGTGTAGAAACTAACATTTCAAGTTCCTTCACCTTCACGACAGATTCCAATCAGATCCAGTAAGCACCGTTCTAGATAAATCCCAAAAGATTCAGATTTTCAGAGTACTCTAAAATTGAACTATAGAAAAAATTCAGAAGAAACCATTACATAGTGAAGTAGCTGACTAAGTCAAAATGTGTAGCAATTACTAACCCTTTGCATATGAGCACGAGCAGCTAGTCTTGCCTGATTCAGTTCTATCTCAATACGATGCACACGATCGGATAGTTTCTCCTCTGTATTGCCGGAGAACTCGATTGCAGTCTCCCATATATGATCCTCTGCTTTGGATTCCAGGGGAGAGTTAGGTTTCGAGGGAACCTCAACAATAGGTCTTGCACTTGTTCCGTCTCCAATGGAGTGCGTTCTTCTCAGAAGAACCTGTACCCAGGGTGAAGACTCGTCATCCTTACCATCAATCTCTTTCAAAATTTTAGATGATCCTTGAATGTGCTTAATGCTCTGACCTCCAGATATCTTTGTTTCGATGGAAAGATGATCAGCAGGTCTTAATGATGATACGGTACTTGCTGCGCTTCCTTGTGGTTTTGACTGAGATGCATTAGTCTTTGGAGAAGAACCAACAGCTGCCGTCCGCTTTCCGTCGACTCTTATCCACTCGTCTAGATTGTTGCAAACATTCTCCGCTGAGGAAGGTGCAGAGGCCCCAGAGCTGCAACTCATGGTATTGGTGACAATCAGTGGGGACTTTAAGCTTGATTCTTTCTCAGTTTTGAAGAGGCCCCCAAGCGTATCGTTGTCTTGGCCTCCTCCGCAAGAAAGATGTGTACTTTTATCAGAAGCAGAATCCTCCTCATTTCCCAACACAAGATTTGGAGAGGGTTGCTCCATTGCAACTTCTGACCCTGGAGATGAAGATAAAACATCCACAGAAACGGGTTCATCACCAGCTTTCACTGTTGAAGTCAACTTTGGAAGCGCTTGCTTAGCGAGGTCAGCCTTTTCAACTGGCTCTTTCTTCCTCCTTCCGTTCTTTTTCTCTCGTGCCTGCCGTGTGCTTGACTTTTTAGATGTGTTGGACTTATGCATATTTCTGTCTTGTTCAAAAAGGTTGAGAACTTCCATCTGCCGCATTGCAATCTCAGATTCCAGCATTTTCCACCTTTCCTCCTAAATGCATGTATTGAACCAGCTGCTTTAGAATCGAACTTGTCGCGACGAATAGTCTGAATGCAAGTCATCAGCCATCCTTGACAAACCGTAATTCTACTTAATTGCAGAATAAAAAAATAAAGAAAAAGGAAATTACATTGTGAAACTTATCTTTCACATATTTATATGGGCAATAAAGAATGGGATGACCAAATTCATTGATTTGTCTCAATGTCTAGGCAAATTTAAGAGCAGTTTTTTGCGTTCAATACCAGTAGCTTAGCAGCTTCACTGTCTTTCGGAGCTTCTTGAAGTGGCGTTCGACCTCGCCGACACTTTCGAGTGACATCTGCCCCTTTTTCCAGCAAAATTCGTCTGTGAAAGTGGCCAAAACATCTTTGTCACGCAAGAAACCCATTGACATAAATACGTTTAAAATTCATACTGTAACAATCATTCGAGATGTCCTTGTAACGCAGATGAGAATGTAATTGACCCTGGTTAAATCTGACTTAAAGGTCCTTGTTCTGCTCTTGTCCCACTCTCCATTTTTTCCTCCAAATGAGGGATCAAAAAGGACAACATGGCTGAAGAGAATTCTTACAGGCACTCGGCAGAGTTGTTTCGTGCTCCATGATGAAGTGCTGTGAAGCCTTCGCCATCACCAGCATTGATTTCAGCGCCTCCATTCAACAAAGATTCTGTAGCTTCTACGCAGTTGCGACTGACAGCGTGCATAAGAGCGGTTTTGCCCTCTGAGGTCCTTGCATTTACCTGTGCGCCGGCCTGAATGTATTGCACAGGAAAGAGGAATGCAATTCCGTATTTTCAAGTCAGATAATTTATATGAGAAAAAAAAGATCTACGGAAGTTTGCACGGACGTCTCGACCCCTTTAAGAGTACAGTACGTGAAGCACAGTGTGGGAAATGCTTACCAGAAGAAGAACTTGAGTGCAATCAGCATTACAGCCCTCGGCAGCAGCAATGAGAGGTGTTACGCCCCCATGAGATTTTGCATCCACCGAAGCTTTGTAACCGAGAAGAACTTCCAAACAGTCGGAGTGACCATTGTATGCCTGGCCATCAGAAAACGAGAAACCCCGAAATTCTTTTTAAAAATATATATGTAAAAAGAAAAGAAAAAAAAGAACTTTCAGTAAATCATACCTAAGAAGCAGGATATAGTTTAAATCTTTGATGGTGAAATTCGGACTGCTAAGCATAGTGATCGCTTTACGCCATCATATCACACAAATCATGGGGTACAAGTCGTCATTCGCTGCAACCATGCAAGCAAATGACAGGGATCTAATTTATGAGACACAAATTCATATATTGGCGGAGTTAGGCTCACAAACAGTGGTTCAAAACCTCACACGGATCTCAACCTCTGGTACCTGAACTTTTCGAGAAGAACATAAACAGTTGGAGTGAAGACCAGAATTGTACTCAGAGTAGAGATCTAGAACGTGAGTAGTCTCTTCTACTTCAGGAAATTAAAGTGGTGTGCGAAGACTGAGTTCTATGATCCTACTAATCACGCAAGAACCAGTCAAGGATGCAAGGTCAAGCAACACTTACTGCAGCAATGAGTGCTGTAACACCCACACGATCTTTGGCATCTGCATTGGCTCCATGCTTGAGTAGCAACTGGACACAACTGTCATTTCCCACCTCAGTCTTCACATTGATCCAACATAACGCCTTTCAAAGCTACAGCTTCATCGTAACATCTAAGTGAGTTGACTAAGGAAAGATTTCAATGTAGAGGATTTCGGGATGAGTTTCTCGCCAAATATACGATGGCGATAAAAGGCCATCTGTTTCACCACCATATCCTATATTTGGTCTCAGAAAAACAGTTCAATCCGACATGTTGATATAATTCACTACAATTTACGCAGACCAAGTGTAGCAAGAGGAACCAGTGGCATTCCAGGTTGGCACTCGAGAGATTTTACACGAAACTCGCTACAGAAAGTATTTGAACGCTCTTTTCAGGCCTACTCTATCTTGATGTTTTAACACATGTCCCGAAGATGGTATACACTTGAGAGCAAGTGAACAACTTAGTAATTTGAACATTAAGCCGCTGAATAGCGAAAACTTACTTGGCAAACCCGCTGTCAGCTGCTGCCAGAAGGGGTGTCGCACCATCTGGGTCATGGGCATCTACATGCGCACCGCTGGACAGCAATAGCTCCACAACATCGACGTGACCACCTCTGCAGGCCACTGCAAAAATCGGCTAAACTGAGGTTCCCTCCTTTCCGATCCTTTATATTCAATAGATTTGTTACTACTGCACTCCCTTGCCACTGTTAACCTACTCTCAAATTAATGTTGCCAAAGAGCATCTGATATAGAATATCCTGCAAGAGATGATCTTTAAATGAGAGTGAATAGTTGCCGTTTTTTAGTGTTTTGTTCCAGAAACTGGACACTGCGTCTCCTGAAACTTTCACAATAAATCTCATATTTTCAAGGAGCAAACACGATGCAAGCCTCAATACCGCGTAATTCACCAAAAATTGTGCTACACTCTTCATAATTTGAGAGACTCCTTCAGTAACCATAAAAGAAAGATGATAAAGAGAATTATTGAGTTCACAATCCGAGCCACTACATACATTATATTAAATACCTACAAGTTGAAGTTCTAACAATATTCACATAACTTACTGCTAGTAGACTTAGATGAGACGAGAATCAGAAGGAAATCAGGATTCATGAGGAGCAATGTCTTCGCTACAATTTTGACAAAAGTACAAACCTGTGAGAGCGTTCTCTAGAGCCGCCGAACATAGTGACTTCTTTGATTTACCAAATTCGTTCGTAGCGATTGAATGGGACTCGTAAGAATTACTCAGAGTAGGAGCTGAATGGGAAATTTTTGACAACTTGCGACTTCTCTCTTGTGCAGCATTGTCGACGCACTTGCTTTCTGCTTCAGTCAGTAACTGTATGGTTTGGTCAATGTCTCCTCGAGGAACTTTCACCACCTCCTGCGCTTGATTACCGTCATCACGGATTTCCCCCGCTAGTTCTCGAGGAGTTCGCCCTGCTCGTTCGCGAGCGAATACATTTGCACCTGAGAGGATAGCGCAAACAGGAACAAGACAGTCAAGAAATATGTCAAATTATCAAAGAGACTGGGATCAATAATCTGATACTCGATTCCAATCACACATAATCAGGTCAAGTTCAAGATTCAAGATTTCTAGCACCAAAATTTACAAATCATGCAGTAAAAGAATAACCAATGCGATAATTCAGTGAGCTTGCCGTGATCCAGAAGAAGCTTAACGCAGTTGCATCGGCCATAGCCGGCTGCCATGTGCAAGGGAGTATAGCCATCCTTATCACGAGCATGTACGTCTGCACCAGCATCCAACAAAAGACGCGCGCAATCTGCTGGAACCATTCCACATGCAAAATGCAGAGCTGTTCGCCCCTTCTCATCCCGTGCATTCACTCCCCAGTCCTGTGGCTCCGTATATGAGGCTTTCGTTGAGTCGGTGCTTGACGAGGATGGTGGTGTTTTGTGTACTTTGCCATTTTGGCTTCCAAGCCCCGGCCCTAATCAATTTTCAAAAGAGTCTTCAGTTCGCGACGTTGTAAAGATCCAAAAAGTTGTACCAGGAATCGATAATTCGCTGAATTCTGGATATGCAAGGCTAAACGTTCCATGTAATCCAGCACGAGCTCTAACACAAGGAAGAATGTCATGAAATAAGGTAGCTTGGAAAGTGGAGAATTCCTAAGGAAATTAGGCACTAACCTGTTCCAAGACCAAGCGGCAGCATTGTGGACGGCGGCGATAACTGGCGACAGGATTGACTATGTCCAAGTTTCCTCTGCACAACATGTTCCTTCGTTCGCGACTTGGAGTACATTACTCCGCTGCTCATTTCCTCCCCGGTCCCCGGCATTCAAGGCAGTACGAGCAGATTCTTGTGTTTAGAGATTGAACCACATTCTTGCTGAAATGCTAGACCAAGTGCTTCCTAGATAAAGAGGATGTATGCTATTCTGCAAATCTACAAGGGCGGCATCTCATACGTGCATTGAAGCAACCCGCGTAATCTAAACCTCACAAATCAAGAGCAATTATCCATTATCTGCTCCTACTCTGGACAAGCGCAGGGGAAGAGCTATTGTCAGGGCAGCGCAGAATAGCACGGCATTCGAGCTTCGCAGACGAGCTGAAACTAGTCAACAACACTTGGCACAAGAAATTCTCTATTCCACAAATTTAATGGCAACTTTATCCACAGAAACTTGTTGAATGTCTCGTCACAACACAATCATAATGTACAGAAATTTCGTCATCACATATCATCCCCTCCAAAGGAACTGCCAACCTCGTCTGAGAAAAGATAGAATTCTAGCACCTACGGATACAGCATCACAATTCGTAGCTCGCGGTTCGAGAGGGACGACACTGCCACTGTCAACAAGGTTTCCTCAATGGCATCTTCAATGAGAAAAAAAATACCGCCATCGTTCTGGTCAAAGAAACGAAACCTTCAATCCAAATTGTGCGCAGAAACGCAATTCCCACCGACAGAGAGAGAGAGAGAGCAGCGAATCACTTAGACTTACATACCATTCGTGGAGCATCTCTCGGTCGCAGATTGTCCTCGTGATTGCCAACGGGAAGATCTTTCCCCTCTGAGCCACAAATCGCCGGAGCATGCTCCAAGGCCATGGAGAATCTCCCACTCTGGCAATGGCCAGGTTACAAGACAAATTCTGCCTGGAATCTTGAGACTGTGCAAGACGGTTTTGGCGTGGAATCAGGGAATAGTGTGAAGCTGCTTTGGAAAGCAGGTTAGCAGTGGAATCCTTTGTGGGTTCGTTTCAAAATATTAATTCGAGGTAAGATAAAAAAGTATATTCATGTAGAATTATCCAAAACAATTAGGTTGTCGTTTTAGATCACTTCAATCGAAAAAAAATCAACGAGAACGAAAATGCTTAAGTTATCAAAATAAAGTGGTAAACAAATTAAGTGAATTTATCTTCTACATTATAGATAGATAGAGATTTCTGTATTACTATTCATAAAAAAGAATTCCATTGTTTTATAGTTCAAAATATTTTCATCAATTTTTCTGCATTTAATTCTATTACTTTTCCTTTAAATTTCAATTCTAACATTTCCTTCACCAAAACATTGCATCAAACATGCACATCCCTAATGTTGAGGCTTTTAAAGGTATGTCTTCTTTTATATTTGCAAATCACCTTGTTGCATTGTTAGCAGGTCAATTTTTTTGCTTCTTTGTCCAAATTGAATATTTAATAGTGTCTCATTTTTCATAATTTTTTTTTTTTAGAAGAGCTTCTTCTTAAACTCTGGAATTAAATACCCTCTAAATTTAATTTTCATATTGTTCTATCATGTGCTAGACAAGTATTTCTTCCCACACCGCATTATAAAAACATTATTTTACCTAACATCAATAATTAATATTTGTTTAATTTTTTTTACTAATTAGTAACTTCATTGTTTGTAATAGAGAGTGACATTAAATTTGTTATCTTATCAGCTGCCTTAACAAGAACGATTTTCAACAATTTGCAGTCATATAATAATGTGATACTGAAATTGTTGAAATAGGCTTTATTATGATTGAAGATGGTAATCCTTTGTTCACTACATGTTCAACAGTCAAAACTAAAATGAGATATTTAAAATCCAAATATTGCTGTTGATCCAACTTTTTATTTTTAAGTATCAACTAATTAACACATAACAGTTTTCTTCAAATGTATAAATCAACCCAATTTTAAGACTTTCATTATGAAAAATAATGTAATTGGGACCTCACAAATTCAAAATATGTCTACAAATAATCACTGTTTCAACCCTTGTAAGTATAATTTTAAATATTTCATACAAGAACGTCTAAAACTTTTACAAGAATATGTAGTCACTACCAATAAATTTCCAACCATCAATACACGATACTTCAACCATAAATTAGGTTTGTTAATTTTCTACATATATACATGTATATGTATATATATATATATATATACATATATATATAATGAAAAAGGTGAAAGTAAGAATAAGGATCAAAACAAAATAAAATAAAACAGCCTTATGAATTATCCATGTGCCTCTGGATTTAAAAACAAATCTTCCATATCAAATTTACGAGCTTGTAACAAGCCATCAAATTGTGCTTCCAATTCCACTCCAATGCCACATTTTTTGATATGTAATTCTTTCATTTTTTTCTTTGCAACCAATGCAGCATATATGGTCTGTCCTTGAGCAGGACCAATTCCTGGATTGGCTGAGATATCTAAATATTGAAGTTCTGATTGTGGTAAATGAAGCAACTTTGTCAATGCCTCCACACCTTCCACACTAAATCCAGTTGCTGACATACTCAACCTCTGCATTAAACCAACTTTTTATTGAAAGTTTGTAAATATATATATATTACAAGTTAATAACTGGTAGCCGATGAATACAATGAAGCATTATTTTTCAAACCTGGATAACTTGATTGTCCATCATATACTCAAAAACACGATGACCACCATAATCTCCAAGATCATTCAAACGTAAATTCAAAGATAACAAACTCTTGTTTGTAGATAGAGAATATCCTATGGCTTGTGTTCCTATTAATTGAAAATGTAGTAATAAATATTTAGAGAAAGAGAGAGAGACAATAAAAATAAAAATAAAAATCAAGCTCGAATATGATGCCTATTTTATACAAAGTGAATTTTTTTCAATATGTGGTTCATAATGTTGTGTCAATGCCTTAAGTTCATAAACAAGCTCATTGTTAATTAGCTGGTTATTACAATGCATACTTATTATTTTTAAATAAAACAAATAAAAATTTAATATTTTTTATTTGATGTACCCATTTTTTTAATTTGATTATTGCAAAGGTTGAGAAACAAGAGAATACAATTTTTTGCATTGAGCAGTCGAGCAAGATGCTCACATCCAACATCAGAAATCATGTTGTGTGAGAGATCCAAATTAACAATTGTAGGGTTTTGAACCATTCCATCCACAAGTGCAAGCACCTGTGAGTGAAATCAGTTCAATTTGATTAACATTTCCTATCAACCATTCATAAAATCAACTATATATATATATATATATATATACTTAGAAAAACTAAACTTAAAAGTGCATGATCAGTAGCTGGTGGGATCACACATGATCATCACAAAGAGCATTTGAAGATAAGTTCAGCTCCGTTAAGGTGTGGGTAACAGAACAAAATGCCGCCATAGAAATACAATCAGAATTAAGCATTCCAATTTTTTTGATATCATAACTCATACATGCATTTGGATCTCCATATTCAATCTTTAATGTACTTAGATTCCTATGTGTCATTGAAATGTTCATTTTTTTATTCATGGAATAAATTCCTTACATAATTTTGATTCTTTATACATGTAAATATATACATGTTATTATTTTTACTTATAAAATATGTCTAGTGATGCAGTATGGAGATTTTAAAGATCTCTCAAACAAATCTGATAGGTTTTTAAAAATAATTAATGAAATTTAACCAAGCATTCTTGAATGAGACATGTGAACTTGCCATTGCAATTCTTCATTTATTAGAAGTAACTGCAAATGTGAAGGAAGTTTTTGCAAATTGATATTATGTACATAAGCTGCACTTAGTCTTAAGAGGTCTTGCAGATCTTTCTTTAAATCCTTCGTTAACTCGTAGCTAGCATTACATTAAAAAATGATAACAAACATTAGTATAGAAGTAGCAACAAAGCTTATATATTATTTATATGTATTTCACTTAAGTTGGGTTTTAAAAACACTTTTTCTAACTTCCTTTTCTTTTTATTCAAAAAAATTTAAAAATTTAAAAGAAATATAAAACCACCTTTCAATAAATTCACTCAAATTACGTTCAAAATATAGCTGTTTCCATGAGTCTCCATGACAAGCAATATCAACATTACGCCATCTAGAAAGTGATCTTCTCTTCCAATAACTCTCTTCTGTAATCAACTATTCAATCAAATATCACATTAATCAATGAAATATCATTGATTGTGCCCAGGACATTTTTATATTTTCATATAAGCAAAAAACTCAAATGGTATGAAATAATTTGTTATGATTTATAATTCATTTTGTAGACATGCAGTTCTAATAGTACCGGAAGAAAAAAAAAATAGAATATGGTATATTAAAATTGAAGACTGCAATATTAAAGCATAAAACCCATAAAAATTCATGTAAAACCTTGTGCAGGCACATCAAATTAAGACGTTCATTTGTACAAAATTATTTCCATACAATCACCTTACATCGGAAATAAGATCTAATGGTAAATCAATTGGTAATAATGCAACAATGCGCTCCCGAATTTCTTCAGGCATATCAGCAAAATATGGGTAATCTTTGTAGTGAAGTGCTTTAATAGGCACAAGCATATCAACCAATGTGGGTTGAAAATAAAAAGGAGGTATTGGCACTTCTTTCTTCCATATTTCTTCTTTTGTTTTTGGAGATGAAGAATTAGATAGGTTTTCAAATTCTCCTACTTTCAATTCTTCTTTTTGCCCCTTTGCTTCATCCAGTTTTTCCATATTATTTTAGGTTTGTTTTATAATTCTAAAACCTCATAAATTCTATGAACAATTTCACAATTTCTTGTTTACATTGGCCAAGTCAATTTGAATTTCACAAAACCAAGCATGTAGGATACATCTATCCTCATGTATTAACTTTCTTTTTTAACATCATGCATGAAAAATGAAAATAAGGTTTTAACTAAAACGTTACAATCATAAATTTTTCTTACACTGCTGTAAATATTCTTTGAAAAGAGATTCAAAAAAATATAAGTTCATCCGATTTTTATATTTAAACAACTATAAATCTTTACTGAAGTTGAATTATTTTTTTTTTCATGGAATTATTTTTTTAATTTTAGAGCCAAAATACACACATATATATACAAACACACACATGATCATATTTCTCAAAATACTTAAATTTTATCGTAGACAGTTATTTTTTATTTTTTATTTTTTTTTCCCCAAAGTCAAACAATTACACTTGTGATGTTTTTTGAGTGTCTAAATCTCTTTACTTACTGTGAAGAAGTTGAACCAATCAGAGACCTTTTTGTAGGTGTGCAATACACTGCTATGAATGCTTGTACTAGTTATAATGCAAAATAAATATTTCAATACGTAAGGTTTATGTGAATGTGTATAAAACCTCAAAAATAGCATATTCTCATTCAATTTTGATGAACACATTATTTTTGGTATTTTACAAGCGTTTTAAAGACTCACATTTGTATGAAATTTGCTAAGCTGCGAAGAATAACAGTCATTGATAACATATCCAAGAATTAATAAATTGAAAATGTTAAAGAAAAAAGACAGTATAGGTCAAAGAAAAAGAAAAAAGAAAAGTCAAAGAACAAAAGTAAAGTTTGTAACTGCAACTAAATGGCAGTGTGCTGAACCTTTTAAGTTTTCATCGGAATGCAAAAGAAAAAGAAAACACGAATTGATATTTCTAATGATCATGAAGAAGTAACTACAAGATGGAATAAATAAATAAATAAAGACCAAAAATAATCAAAAGGTGGAAAGAATTAAAGAATTATGGGTTGGTTGATATTTCCTCAACCATGACCACCTACAAAATCCATGATAATTTTCTTTTTAATTTATTAACTTCAAAAGAATTAAATATTTTTTACACATACTATATTTAGAAATATTTGGGATTTAAAAATTTTAATGAATTATTTGTAATTCAAAGGATATATCAATGTTATACTCTAGATTTCTTTTTCAATTTCTCTTGCTTATTAAAAAAAAAAATACAATGTATGTATGTATGAATATATATATATATATATATATATATATAATTTCTTATAATAATTTTCATAAAAAACCCTATCTAGATTTATCCTGGCATTTGATTTATTATATAATATACATACAAATATTTTAAAAAATATTCAGTTTTAATATTAGTCAATGATAATTTACATGAAACTTAGTTTTGGTATACTGCTCAGCACAATCAAAGATATGAATTCAATTAAAGTAAAACCTTATATTATTTTTCTGTTTTTAATCTAAATAATCCATATTTTTTAAACACAAAATAAGGGTATATATATAAATTTGTGATTTTAAAAAATAAAATCATATGCATGATATTATTGAATGATTTTTATAATTTGATAATACTTTGAATTTAGAATATCTATATAATAAGGAAGCTTAATTATAATTATAAGACAAAGACAATTAGAAGCCTTCTTATTGGCCAAAATAAAAGAAATTGCTAACCAACAATAAAGTCTTGCTTAACAATTAGAAAGATCTCCAATTTACTATCTATACAACATATCATTTTATTGCTTTTCTATGGCATAGGGTTCCACTAGTATATATATATATATATATATATATATATATTAACATACATGTACATAGATTATGATTGACATTTGTGAATTTTGAAAATTAATATAATGGAAGTAAACAATGTTTTGAAAGAACACTATATATTTTTTTAATTTTTAAAATATTTATGGATATTAATTATTGATTCCATATATATGCAAATGCAAAATAACCTAAAAGATATTAATAGCATCACAATCCTACACTTATAAAGTCAATTCCATATGCACAAGGTTGCAATTTTGTTTTCTTTTTTCCTTTTTATTAGTTTTTGCTTTACTTTTCTGCTTTTTGTGTTATTCAAACACCATATTCAGTATTTTTGAAGTTTGGATATGAAATCCTAATGCATACATTACCTCTGTGTTTTCAAAATTTCTTTACTTACTAATCACTTTAAAAATTTTACTGATTTTGATTGCCTATTGTTAAGAGTGTACAACGTTAGGTCTCTACTGAAAGAACTGATCCACAGAAAGACTTTCAAAGTTTTCAGATGTGAAGTTTCACACAAGGGGAAACACAAATATATGAAGACACTGATTCGAATTCAAGTGTTCAAAAGTTTGGGCGGGCTTTGTCTGGGCCATCACATCAAAGGGAAAGTATATATTAGATTCATGGATGTTCGACGTCGAAGCAGTTTTTCGGCGCTTGAAGCAGAATGCCGATCATGTCCAAGCTAATCAATCACTCTCCTCAGTCTTCGTGAAACGCTCTCTTGTTACGGTGATACTTGCGGAACTTCTTTCTCATCTGCCTGAATCTGTGCCGAGTTGCGTGTTTTTTTTCCTGTGCCAAATCCGTGGACTGTTGCATTTGCAAGGAGAATTGGGCGTCCGTGGACCTTCGATGCATGTCCGTCGTGGTCTAGCCATGACTCGGAGAATCAGAGACCTACCTCGACGTCGAATTCGAGCTCCGAAACAACAAATCTTGAAGGACTGCAAAGATGGCATCACGATGTCGTTGCCACGTTCGTTTTCTTTTTCCCCCCCTCTGAGGTGTCGTTGTTTAAGAGCTTTCCGCGACTTGCAAGTTGCTGTCGTCCACTGGCCAAGTCCCGCATCAGTGGTAAGTTTCAGGATGAATCATATATTAGCTAACAAGTTCCAATTCCTTACATTTCTTTCTAGATGACTGCGCATATCAGAATTTTGTTTTCCTACTTTCTCCGTTGAATTGGTCGACGGTGATTGATAAGTTGTGCGTGTCTGTATCGTGATTGTTTTGTTATCTGGTTTTGTCCTGGACGTGGATGAAAGAGTAGGATTATGGTTCAGTAGAGTTCTGCAAGCACAACGACCGAGGCGCCGGTGGTGTCAGGTTTCGGTCCAGTCCCTTGCTACGCACGCTTGTGCTTCGCTGCGTGTTGAATGAAGGATTTCTTGGGAAGAGGTCGACGATGCTCTCTCTCTATCTCTGTGCACTTGGTTATTGAAGACCGAGTTAGGTTGAAAATTCCATTTGGAATCGTCCTTTCAAGAGGTTCACAAGCGGCTTGATCAGTTTCGATTTTGGTTATGAACATCGGCAGGTGTAGGTGTTAATCATGAATAACAATCCCCATTTCGTGTCCATGAAGGTAACGAATGACCTGATTGTAGCTTCAAGAATCTACATAGCTTTAAGTGTTGTTTTCTTTCTCTACATCTGCTATCTCCGAATGCTGGAGCGCTGTGCGCTCATAGCCACAGTGCTCCAGATATACAGAACCTTCCCTGAGCGTGTGTCCTCGTTTTTCGAGTTCATTTCTCTGTCGTTCAGGGCTGCTCTGTGGATCACGCTTATCGATTACTGTGGCGAAGAAAATTGTAAGCGTTACTACGAGAGCGAGCTTGTAGCTCTCTGTCGTCTCCGCTTCTGCAATTGCTTGAAAAGCGGACTTTATTTTACGAAGGGCGAGGAGTTGCCATTTGCATGCACGGATCGGTACAGGGCGCAGAGCATCCGCCCGTGCACGCGATCCCTTCACAGATTCGACGAGGATTATTCTCCCCTCGCGAGCCGTGAGCTTGGGTTTCTGCGGGATTATATTAACATGTTGAGATCGAGCACCGGGAAAGGGGTGAAGATTCACTACGATGAGCATTCGGATTTCACGACAGAGTGCCAGCAAGTCTTTAAACAGGTAGCAACGTGCTATCAACCTTAGTTAGGGTTTCCTTGAACCATTTGATATTGGATTCTCCGAGTATATTAAATGTTTGTGTTTTTGTCAGATAACTCAATTGATTAGGTTCAAGGAAGGTTTCTCTGAGCTTCTTGTTCCGAGGAGGAGGGAGCTGCTTGCGCCAGTGCGCATCTGGGACAAGGGCGTAATTTTGCCTGGGGCTTGGATAATGTGCACAACCGATTATCATCTTGTTTTCCAAGATGTCGACGCAGACCTAAGCATGTGCGAGGTGTTGACGAAGTCTGGAAAGAAAATATACAAATGTGTGTTTCCAAACAGGTTATTCGACCTCGAGAGGATGCTTGCTGGGCTGATACCTGTTGTGAAACACGAGAATTTCGGCCTGGTGTCGTCAGGCTGGTCTTTCTGGGGCATAAATATACTGCATTCATCCACCTTCGATGAGCTTTTTCAGTATTTGTTATCTGGGCGAGAGGTTTTTGTGACAAAGCTACCAGGAGGCGATCGGGCCACTCTTGTGTTGGGATGATTGTTTTCAGGAGCGCATGACGTTTGTAAGAAAGAATAATCTTGAAGATGTCGGATCCCATAATGAGAGTGACGATGGTGACCAACTGCCTGCATTTTCCGTCAAACCTTTTCAAGCTCTTCTGTCAGGTACTCACCATCCTCTTCCACTCTTGCATCTTTGGCTCTTGATTTGATTTCCTCTCTTTTGATAAATAGACGAGGATTGCAGTTGCGCCGAAGCCCTCAAACTTTGCTGATTTGCAGGTTTGTTATCACCTGACAATTTGGTGGTGTAGACCTGTCTCGCCGACGTTGATATCCTTGCTAGTAGATGCATAATTTCAAAGATTGCTCGAGGATAATATAGTGGCAATTCTGCTTCTGGTGTATTGCACGACATCGATCAGTTGAATCTACTATTTGCCGACTTTGATAGTGAAAGTTGCCTGCACATATCCACCGCTAAAGCCGAGTCGACATTCATTTGGCAGTTAAGGACGTTGTGGTAAAAACTATGGTGTCTGAGTATTTTTTTTGGCAAAAATCGAGTATATATATATATATATATATATAACTGTCTGTCGTTTCCGATGAACACTGACACGGCTGATTAATCTTCTCTTTCAGCTGCTCCCCTTGACTCCGCTGCCTCTTTCGTATTGAAGATTAGAGACAAATTCATACACCTTGGTACCGGCGTGTTCGTTTAGTTAGTAAAGATTAGTTCATTCTGAGGAGCGAGGGCGTCAAGCACAATTGACGCACTGTTTATATTACGTATACATGAGTGTCACTTATCTCGTATTCTGGTGAGTAAGGGACCTTCTGAGTGCCCTTGACATGTCTGCGCATGAACAAATTGCACAAGACTCTCACATTTTCCAGTGTTCGATCTAATTGCGTAAATAGCTGTGATTGATGGCTGTTACTCTTCAATTGTGGGCAATAGTTTTAATGTTATATATGCTTACTCGGCAAGTATTGAAAGCCTTTCCATCTAGAGCCCGAATTTTATGTTCGGGTTCGGCAAGAACATTGCATTTAGAGGAGAGCAAAAGTAGTATGTTTCGCCACGGTTTGTTCCGCAGACCAGTCAGCATATACCTAAGATGAAGTATTCATTACTTTTGAATCAGCAGATGTGCCATAAGAACAATCGATGACTATTTACATAAGATTCAAACATTTCAGGACATTGACCTACTGATTTGCATTGCTTGAAGGAAAGACTGCAAGGACATGCAAAAAGTGGAACTTAGACAGCGGTGGCTTTGCCACAGCCAGCCTGAACTGCGGAAGATATACTTGGTCATCACTACTCCTGCCGGGAGAAAAGTTTTCAACCCTGTTGATGCAAGTTTCTTTTTTCTGCCCCTACTGAGGTGCGCTGAGGACTTTCGGATGTAATATGTCAAGCTTTGCGAAACATGTTCCCGTGATTACTTCATTTTCATCAACAACTCCGGAGACAAATCTGTTGAACTATGAACGATTACTGAATGACTCGAAAGAGAAAATACCAGCTACTTCATCCTTAAGATTCGCTGTCGAAACCATGGACGCGTTGGAAGGATCGATACACAAACTTGAAAATGTCGAAAACGATTGTACAAATGCTGGTAGAGTATTCCCTTACACCACAGTGAAGTAAACTCATTGCAAGAGAACCTGTCAACGAAAGTAGCAGTCCAATACATGGGAGAACTCTTACCATCGTCTGAAAGACGGTGAAAACTCTCAAAACCTAAGCTTGGAGAAGAACCACCTATTCTTGCCAGTCTTAAACCTCTCTTCCAACACTGCTTTCGCCCCCTGTCAACAGAAGCCATCAATCGCTTAATGAAGCTTGTAGTCAAGAATTCTACATGTTAACCTTGTACAGAATGCAGGGTGAAGGTAAACTTAAAAGACGGCATGCTTTCAATCAGAAGGAAAATGTTCAGTACTAAAAAACTAGCACTACAACTTAGTGATCACTGGTAACCAGACCGACAGTGTAATAAGATTGAATAGCTTGCATGATGACTACACATGAGGGAGTTGAGGGAGTTCAAGGTAGTGGTTGATTACCTTTCTAGCCTCAACACGGCCAGCAGTAGATTCCAACTTGTCCGCGGTCAAAGTGCTCTTCAAATCCACGTCCAACGAATACCTGGAATTATTGAAGTAGGCACATAATAATTAAACAACGATTTTGGCTCATTCAAGTCACTGACCCGGTTTTGTCGATCTCGTCAAATAAAACTTAGCACTCAACCATTCCTCGTGAATTGAGGCCAACTCGCCAGAAATAGGTGTATTGCCACCAAAACTTCCATGTGCAGTATCAGGCACTCATAAATCAGACGAATTTTATCTTGTTCGATGCAAATTAGACGAGCCAAATCTCAAAGCTAGATAAGTCGTCCTTGCCATGCGAGTCCACAATTAGGACGTGTGTCCAAGTGTTTCAGGTATCAAGTTAATCAAGACAAATACCTGGTGGGCATAATGTGGTTGTAGTTCACAACTTTCGTGAAAGCTTTCAGCCTTGAACGCTTGGCAATGGTCTTCTGTGAAGCTTTCTTGATCACCTAAAACCGTAAAGAACCAGAAAATGGAATAAGTAAAGTATAATACTCTTCTTCGTCAATCTGTGATACTTCTAACAATCATATTCCCAATCATCTAAAATGCAAGATCTGTGCCACAGAGACTCACACCGCACAGCTATGTTTGATGCAGCTGATTATCTCAATAATAAGCATCGACAAAGAAGAAATACTAGGGAATCTAAAAGACCAATCCCCAACGTTGCCCTAGATGCGCTGTTGTTAGAAGAAGGGGCTAAACGGTTCCGATCAGTCAAAAAACCACCAGGAGAACCTTTGGCATGAATAGAGGTGCAAAAATCTGTACGAACAAAGCAGAAATTCTATCTTCTGACTTCACTCACAGAAGGAAAAAACTGACTCCTAACTAATGCCCACGTAAAACTACTCACACTGGTCTAACTCAATCTTCCAATGCAAGTAGAATAAATGTCTCAGTAAAAAATTGGCCTACTAAGTGCAAGCACACGAAAGAGGAAACATAAACAAGCAAATTAAGCACAGCTGCTAGCACACCTTGCGAGGATATTTGGCGATGCCGCAGATGATGGCATGGCCGTAGGGGCGCTCCTTGGTGCCATCGTCGAAGTTCTTAACAATGACGGCCTTGCGACCGGCGTAGCGGCCCTGCAAGAGCACGACCACCTTGTTAGGCTTCAGAAACTTCACCATTTCGTCCCGATCCGAGACACTGAAACTCCCACGCGGTGCAAGGAGCGAGGGCGGAAGGGGAAATATCAGAGGTCTTCCTTAGGATTTGAAGAGGCCCCTGCGGCCAACCCCTAACCCTAATTTTACGAGAGCGAGGGAGACGAATGTTCCTCATATTGATATCTGGTTCACGTACGTGCCTATGTATATATATGCCCAATGATTCTTCTGTACCCGGTCCTCACTCCTCTGGTTGTAGCTTCCTTTACAACCATCTTTTCCCAACCTTATTTGAAGTCGCATTTAAAGAAGTGTGTATATTTGTAGCTTGAAATTAGCGGGGGTTTGTACAGTGGCTGAAATGATTCAGCCTGCTGTGAATTTATTTGATTAAGGCGCATGTAGTGGAGTCAAGGGAGGGTTTGGAGTTTTATTGTGGAGAAACTCAGTGTACGAGGCGTTCCTGTTATCAGTCTGGACGTGGACTTTCTGTTTTGTGTGCGCATATTACATGGAGGCCTGTGCAAGAGTGTTGCAATTAGTGCAGCTGACAGCCAGTGGAAGGCCGCGGCTGGAGTCTGGGGAGGTGGAATGCCAGCTCCTTGATGGAATCGACTTGGAAGAGGATTCAGGAAAGTGGGCTTTGAAGTCAGGAATTCTAAGCTTGACCACGCATCGATTGCTGTGGCTTGACGAGAGATTGATGAAAGCATCGGCAGTGCCTTTGGGATCTATTGGGCAAGTGTATGCTTCAAAAAAGAGTCTGAAGAGTATGTTCTCAACGCCTCGATTGAAGTTTCAAGTCTGGACTCAAAAGGATGGACGAGTGTCATCGCAGGGACAAGATGGGGCCGCGGGTTCTATTGTACTCTCGATCCTGTTTAAGGGAAGGACAGGGCCGGATTCATTTGTTCAGCGATTCGGAGAAGTTGTGAAAGCTCAGGCCTGGAAGGTTTGACTGTCGGAGCTTTTCTTTAAATAGTGCAGCTTAGGGTCTAGATGTCTCAAATTTTGGGATGTCTAAGGTGAGGTTTAAGGCATGCGTGCCCAAGTGTATGTAGATCCTCATTGTCCTGTATGCTTCGTTTGTTGGAGGTCACATAATGGATTTCTTGCAACTCTCTCTGAAATCAGTTGAAATCCCAGGTGAATATGGCTCCTCAAATCCGGTCCTCATTGGACGAGTCTGTTCCAGCTGGGGAGGCAGGCCCCAGCTCTGGTACAGCAAATATTCCTAGGAGACCACCTCCTACGAAAATTAATCCAGCAATGGCAGGAGTATCGGGCATTCTCCGAAAGGAACAAGAGCAACAAGAAGAAGTTGACAAGAACATGAAAGAGGCCTTCCAAGACTTAAATGGTCTTATGGTACGTTTTTTGATCACGTGCTCTCACAACTTCATCACTATGAGTGAAAGTTGTCAATTTGTTCCTACAATTAAAGATTATCGTGAAAGTGCTGTTTACGAATAAATGGACCCATGTCGATAAAGATTTGATGCAAATTTTTATCAGTTTAAGGGATTTACTAGGCGTTTGCTATTTACGCAGAGTAAAGCAAAGGAGATGGTACAATTGGCTGAGAAAATGAGGGCGAGGCTTCTGCAAGGTCAATCGGCAGGAACAGATGAGGAGGGTATGGGTACTAAGCAAGAGATGCAAGACTGGATGCTTAGTGTAGGAATTGCTTCTCCGGTGACCAAAGAATCGGCAGGGGCACTTTATCATCAGCAGTTGTCTCGCCAGGTGCATTATTATCAACATTTGGACATCCACCACCTCTGTTTATGCAAATGGAATTCTTTGGTTGTAATCTTGTATTTGCAAGTGAATATTGATGCTAGAAGTACTTTAACATATATCATCTAACTCCAAATGCTTTTCTCAAGTTCTGACTACATGTAGCAGATTGGATTGTTGGTGCGTGTCAGCTAGCTGATTTTGTGAAGGATCCTGTGCAACGAGCAGGAGGCATGCTTGCCTTGATAGATGCCTATTGTTTATTTAATCGAGCTCGTGGTACAGGTACATAATATTGCAACTTTGCTAACTAAATTCCATCTTGTTTCTTATTCATTGTTTCCTTAGAGAGGCATTATCAATAACTGAATTAATGGTTGTGTTCGGATTAGTGGCTTATGCTCTTTGTTTTCGTGAAATCTTTTAGCTGCCAATAGTTACTAAAATGAGCTCATGGTGGGTGAATACAGAGCTTATATCTCCGGAGGATCTGCTAACAGCTTGTACAGTGTGGGCTACTATAGACGTGTAAGTAAACCGTTAGATAAAATGTACTCCACGGAATTCGCATTTAGTTTAAAATAAATCTAGGGTTTTTATTATGAGTGCATGGTTACCTTTTAGCTCTTTATCCTTCTATTTTAAAAGTGGGTCTGCTCTGTTACTCTTTTCACTAACGTCAAAACCCGCCTACAATTCAACTATAGTGGCTCCCACCTGGAGCTGGTATATGCTTTTGTGGCTCTCGTTGATTGCTGTTTCAGTAGAATTGGATTGCTAATTTAGATGTTGAAATGCAGACCTTTCAGGTTACGCAAGTTTGACAGTGGAGTGATGGTCATTCAGTCTGTGAGTCAGAGTGACGAGGAGGTGATTCTCATTCCATGTTGCTGTGGTATCCGTTGTATTCATTCTAAGAAGCCTATCACCATAACCTCCTTTGCAAAGAACATAGTACAAAGTTGTCTCCATTTCCAGTTATGTGGGAACGTATCTTTGTTGCTCATTCAGCGCTCTCTCTCATTCTATGCATTTTTAAGTAGCTTGCAAAATGTGCTCATCTACCCTTATGCAGGTTTTCATGAGACTGACTGCATTAGTAAAAAGTGGAGAAGCCGCAAAAATGGGCATAGGTGCAACTGAAGCAGCTCGCGCTTTGGGAATGGCTCCTGCTCTTGCGAAAGAACAACTTCTAGCAGCTGAGAGTCGAGGTTTGTTCTTCTCAATTCAACTTGGATTAGGAAGGAAACTCAGATTTGGGTCTTCTGTGATCGAAGTATCAAATTTTTGTATGGGAATCATGCTAGTGAGAACATTTTGAAATTCTGCTCGAATGATTGTTGATCTTCTCACTATCAATTGCACCTTATTTGCTGTGAAGGCAAGCAAGTTTATTCGTGCCCGTGCGTCAAGGTATAACCAGTTGAAGTTTATTGCACGAGAGCTGGCTCTCACGGTGTCTTCGTTGTGCTTTGGCAGGGATTCTTTGTCGAGATGATGGTGCTGATGGCTTGCGTTTCTTCCACAATTTCTTCATGGATATATCCATTACAACCCTGCAAGAAGGCAGCTGAGTGAAATCAGCTCTTCTCATGACATCGATTCAAGATTCTTATGTTTTTTCTCCTGTGCCGTTGTGTGCATCTGCAATGCACGGAACGGAAGGTATGCAACGAGATCGGTTGCTGAGTTTTCCACAAAGTGACATAATATATGATGGTATTTGTATTATCCGTCTGTATATCTCCTGACAGCATACTATGCCTCTGAACCGCAACAACATTCCCACAGCAAACTCCATTAGTCTCTGTCTCATTATGAGGTCGTTCAAACTGCCTATTCGTCTACATTTGTGTTGGACAACATGGAAAATTTGCAGTAAAGTCTGTCAATCGTACCCTGCAACACCAGCTCGAAAAACACTGTAAAGACCCTAGTACTCGTACACAACATACGAAGTGAACAAAAGGTGTCACGATTCAGAACCGTCGAGAACCGTTCCGAGAAAATGAAATCGTACAGATGTAGGTATCACTTGGAATTTGAGATAAGCAAGCTACCAAAGCGGTCGGAGTGGCAATGGCAACCCTAAGAAACCGGGAACCTCCTCAAAGAGTTCATCCATGGCTTATTATGCTGATTCGTATGCATGTGATCAGTACTAATGGATGAGTGAAGGCTACACAACCAGGTCAACTAGATGTGCGCAGGCGCCCTTATGGTCCTGCCTTAAGTAGGAGTCAGACCGAGATGATTAGTCATGACTCCGATGCCTTGACAGAAACTATAGAATGGAACTATGATATTGTCCGAGCACATCGCCTTGGCCTCCATTCTGAGCGTCCGTCACTCCCTGCGCGCCTCATTTTGCTTCTCTTTCTCTCTCTCTCCAACCGCGCCTAACCAACTGTAGCTTCACTGCGCAGCCACCACCGCGATCACCGCGGCCAATTCCTTGCTTCTCTCGCAGCCCCGCATTCTACCCAAACGTGCTTCTCATTTCCATTCCTACGCATTGTCATTGAATTCCAAGGTTCATCCCAAGTTGTGTGAAATAAACCATCCTGTCATAGACGTCGACGGGTTTCGTATTGCTTTTCTTATGTCGTTTTCGGTAACTTCAGGTGCTGATGTAACGATGGTTACGTGCGACGTTTTGTTTGGTATTGTTTTGTTTTTTTTTTTCCATATTTTCGTTCTGTTATTCTGTTTGTTAGTTTTTCCCCTTGCTGAGGGAGATTTGTTGATGGTATCATTGGAGGCTGGTGATATGGTATGATGTGATGTGAATCGATGTTATCTGCTATGTGTACGGTTTCGTTGTAGATTCGTGGAACTGCAACTTGCAATTGCCAGAAATCGTGCTCGGCACGATATCTTTGTTCATTGGTTAGGAATTGTAGTTGCTGGTCTTGAAGTGTGCTAGGGAGAATTACACGCAATTTTGACTGGCGTTTGAAATTATGCGATGATTTCAATATCTGTTCTGAGTTCTAGGGTTTCGTCGCTGCGTTTCTTAACCGTCTTTGAGAATCTTCTCCTGGAAATGGCACACGTAGTAATCTGAGTCCAAGTCGCGTTCCATGTTTATTGTTTGGACTCCTGTCTTCACATTGTTATTGTTGGAGGTATCCATTTGTGCCTAAGCACTTCGTGACTGAGCCTTTTGCACACTTTAGTTCAGATGCACCTACGCCATGGTGCCAAAGGTTTCTCTACAGCACATTTTTTCAATCCGTTTCTACTTTGCACTGAATCATTTATGTTCACCGGCTACTGTTGATGATTGATCAAATATGTGGATTACACAACGAGTGGCGAAGTCCCAAGCTCTTTCCAGTTTCACCTTCTTATAATTTTTCATGTTTTGTTATGTTCCTCCAGTCCCTTGCTTCCGCCGCTATGCTCATGCTGCACCTTTTCGAAGCATCTACTGAAATTATTCCTATCTTTGTTTTGGCGATAATGTTGAAGTTTTAGGCTGATGGTCTCGCAAGGAGTACCTTATGTGGACGTTCTGACTTCGGCATGTTTTTGATGGTACCTTAGGCGGACGTACTACTTAAATAATGGCGGAGAAAACAGTGGAGAAATCTAGCATTTTGGAGAGGAAGGCCATCATAAAGAATGCCGACATGACTGAAGACATGCAGCAGGATGCCATTGAATGTGCAACTGCGGTATGAGCAGATTCTCAAGTGTTTACTCTTCTTCCTGCTTGTGGTGATTGATCTTTGTTCCTCTGATCTGCTGATTCTCTGGAAAATTTATTTATGCATAATACGGGTTTGTCTCGATCAGGGTTTAGATATCAGTCACTTTAATAGTTTCATTAGGTAGCATTGCAACAAATTGCGAGGCTTAGACTTCCTCTCGCTTGGCAGTCTGAAAGTCATCTGCTCCTCAAGCTTCCGGTTCCAGACATCTGTTATGACCACTTCCTGTTGAGAAATGAAAAATCTTTCGTATGTTCTTTGGGTGCGAGTGCGTTGGCTTCTGAGGATGTAGTAACAAGATTGCAGTTTTAAATAAGCTCTAGCCGTTATTTAAAAACCACTGTTTCTTCATGCATTTCGATTGATGGCTGTATGGGAACGTGTATTCCTTTGCTTGCTTTGTACTTGATTTAGCTACTGGCACATAATAAGCCTCCATGTAATTGAATTTGGGAAGGGTTGGAATGGGTGTGAGTAAAGGCTCTCGACAAGTACAATGTGGAAAAAGATATAGCAGCCTACATCAAAAAGGAGTTCGATAAGAAGTATAATCCAACCTGGCACTGCATCGTCGGGCGCAACTTCGGTGAGAGTTTGTTTTACGCAAATCACTTTTTTTTATGCCTAGAATTCTAGAAAGGAGGATAGATCTGTGAGTCGTTGAATCGAATAGATGGTTATTGGTGAATGGAATTGCAACTGCCCGTTTAATGTCACCGCTTTGATGCTAGTAGGTCTAGGATATGCAGTTCGATGCAAGTGAGCGCAGTAAGCTGTTATTACATTGGCTACATGGTTAATGAATCGGTATTATCTTCCGTATCGCAACCAACGCATGTGATTGTGCCCTTGCAGGCTCATATGTCACTCACGAAACAAGGCATTTCGTTTATTTCTACCTAGGCCAGGTGGCTGTGCTACTTTTCAAGTCTGGTTAGAAATCAGAGTGCGTCATGGAATTAGGGCTCCGACATAAAAACCTTGTATTTTCGTGAAGTAGAAGCAAACTTTAGTTGGTGTTCTCATAAGAATATTGCAAACACCTAACAATGACGAAAATCTTTCATCTTTTTTTCTCCTCCACTCCGTCTTTATTTCAATGAAATCAGAATGCTCAATCATTGACGGTCTTTACGTTACCTCAAACTGAAGTTGGCAGCAAGGAACCTATTATAACTATAAATGTGTTGTATGCTTGCGACATTATCACTGTGGCACGTTTACTTCTTCGTATGTGTACCTCGATGGCGGAACCACTATCTTCATGTCTAAGCCAATAGATCTCACCCATTAGGCAGCGGAAGTAGGCTTCATCTCTCCAATATCCGAATCCTATGTGCAGGCTGCGCGGGTTTTCCTCCCCTGCCTCTTACACTAAAACAAGCCAACTGATTCCGCCGTATTACTTCTGGACGTAAGAGACCACATCAGACCCTCTCAGACATTGAACCTCCTTTCTAGCTATTGTTCTTGGTCCTATGAAAGAAGAGAGGCGTCACCCCTGGTTTTCACGCTCTGAGTGTGCTGTTTCTCACCGTAGAGGATTTTCAGTTGTTGTTGATTCTCCTTGGTGTGTAAACGCATGCTAAAGCATAGCATCAATTGCCAGGAGCGTAATATTTATAATTACGCGAAATCTTCTAGGAGAGTGCAACTGAGGCCTGGGATGTCGCGTGAGCACCATCGCTACCCTCAACCCTTGACCACACCGTCGTAACCGCTTCTAACCTAGTAGTTAAGCACATTTCTATGGCCTCAATGAATTCTTTGCACGTCATTGTTTTGATGCGTTCTAGTTTACCAGGCGCACTGTAGCAAACGAGTTGGTGTTTTTTGTGCGTGGTGGAGCGATTTCAGTCGAAATTGACGTTGGTGAGCACTGCGCTGCGAAGTACGAAGTCGACGATCGTACAGACTAGGCGAAAGCCCACTTTACTTGCATGTGTGATTTACGGTAGAAAAATGACTGAAAAGGCGAGCAAGCCTTATTTCCAATAGTTCGCCAGCGTCATCAGATTACTTCCTCGGCCAACACAACATTTAACTTTTTGCAGCAGGTATGTTTGGTCCAAGGCAATCGCGTTCAATTGCTACCTTTCGTACTAATCGCTACCTTCTTTTGCTGACTGATCAATCTTGCACAATGCGTCGCGAATACGTTTCGGTCTTCCATTAGTCATACGAACAATTGCGCTGCATTACTTCATGAGGTTCAACATTTAATTTCTCGTAGCGAGTTTTAGGGTGAACAGTTATCCCCTGAAGTTCATAGGCTTAGTCTCGTTAAGGGGTTAATTAAATGCTGTTGTAGTTTTCGAACGAACATGAGAACTTGAAGAGCTTTTCATTGAGTTAGGAACTTTCTCCACGATGTTTTAATCCATGGTGATAACTTTTGACATAGCAACTGAAAGTTCTTCGAAAAGTAGGATAATGCGGTAGCATTCAGGCTTTCTTGGGCTTATGGCTTGCGCTTCAATTTCTGACGTCGCGCACCTCCAAAATGGCAAAGGTAGGTTTAAAAGGTCTTCATCTGTGAGGTTGGTAGAGGTTGCGAAGACCAAGCAGATACAATGCAGTGCGCATACAATTCTATCACCACCACTTACGGATGAGGCTGATGATTGCCGCGAGACACGAAGAGATGGTGATTTGAGGAGATCTTGGTTGACATGAGTTCTTTGATTAGCAAATTCTTTTGTGGTGATAAGCGCCGAATAGCATGTGCAGCGAGTTTATTAGCTGCGGACTGAGTGCATTTTAAGATCACGAACTTGGTTTTTTCTGCACTCGCGTCACATGGAGTTCGAAGTTATGTTGGGAGGATTACGCTATTGGATGATATGTGTTTCTAAGTACGTGAAGATGACTCTTTACCACAGTTGAATGCATTATGGTGAATCATTGTTGATTCTCATGTAGCATTCCTTGACTCACAAAGACATCGAAGTGACATTTGCTTTGAAGTAAGTGGCTCCTATTGTCATTCCATTAATCTGCGATGCGCTTAATTCAAGGTCATCTGTTTGATGTTGCTTGTAGAAACGTTAAGAGGTTTAAGTGAGCATTTCCAGCGGACCCGAAGGCAGCTCATCTGCGAAGCCTGGCATGGAATTGCAAGGAAAGCTGTCAGCTATGAAGGTTTACAATAGTGAGCTCATTCTCCGTGTCATCTTATCACTGTGAGAGGCACACAGGTCCTCATTAGAGGGAAAGAACCTTGTTCATCAATTTCTGTGGATCACTTTTGAGCAAGTTCTTGCTGTTCGTATAGCATCCAATTAGCTGAGTTACACACAAGAAAGGAGAGTACTAAAACGATCCATGTCTAATTTATTCTCATCACTCAGTTCTGGAATCAACAATAACGTTTGATAACTTTAATGGGATGTTGTTTTGCAATCAACGTTCAAGAACGAATGAGAGCAGCGAGTGTCAATGAGACGTTATATGTCCTAAAACCAGAGTAGCATGAAATTTTAGTGATCTAATAGAGAAGATAGATAAACCATGACTATCAAGTGCTGCTGGACAGTCTTACTCTGAAAACATGATAGCGTTGTCATTGTAGTTGACCTAGGCATTGAGGAGCTCATGAAAAAGAGGGACAGTATGAAGAGGGTGGTGCAACTCGAGGAGGAAGAGAAAGCAAACATTCAGAGGGACTTAACTGCGCTAACCAAACGCTTGACCGAGATAGACGAGTCTCTGTCTCGAAAATATGCGTGTGTGGAAGACTATGAAAATACCATTCACAACGTCGAATCCGCTTATTCGAAGGTAAGTCATTTTACCTTCAAATTGATGTTCTTGCAAAAAAAGACTTTCCTTGTTCCCGGAATTAACATTGACACTGACTCAGCCCATATCTTTAGCATCTCTTTATCATTTTGGCATCTAAGAGGGAGGTTTTTCTTAAATGATAAAGCGAGATGGCTATCTTCGAATGAGAAAACCGAATAATCCAAACACTGCTCTCCTCCTGATTGACTGTGAGAATAAGTCAGTATTTACAACCATGAAGAAAACTTATCATTTTAGCGGTACACAACACTAGGTTCCAAACTGGCACTGAACAGATGAACCTTGCAGCACGGGACAATGTCATGATCACAGGCCCTAGGAACCCTTCCAGGCAACTATCCGTGGCAAGTATAGAAACTGCTCTATGAACATGCACAACTGACAAACATTTAAATGTTGATTTGCCTCTGCTAGGGTGTACGACTGAGATTTATCCAGATTATATCTTCGACAAAGTTACCACTTAGCATATTGGGAATACCTTTTAGGTAAGAAATCAGCAACATGATGAAGAAAGATGAAAATCTTGGTTTGATCACCTGGATCTCTTTCTTGTGCAGATCTTAGAGAGTTCGCAGGCACTCTTGCAAGTGCTCCAATCTGAGAATTGCAATCACATTTCACAATGTGCAAGATAGCAGACGGTTCAACTAGAATCATCTATCATCTTGATGTGTGTACCAATACATTTTGCTGCTAGTAAGTGTGTTGAACTACTGATCAAGGAATACGGCCAGCGCTAGATACGATCCTCACTGGTATTTTGAGCTCATCTTTTCTGCGTGGTTCTGCCATATCATCCTACCATTTTCAAAAAGTTTGTCGTCACTTTCTTCACAAACAATCCTGACGGTGTCGTTTCACAAGTAATAGAAGTGGGAGTGAGATTGAAAGTTGAATTCCCGGAGCGCTGTTAAAATGATTTACCCGTTACCTTTGTTCACAAGAGCTGAACGTTCTGCAACACTTAATGGAACAGTATAAATAATTTAAAAACACACCCTTTTGGTCCGGTGTCTCCACAATCCCTCCACCAGAAGAGATGATGGGAATAACATACCTGCCATTTAGACGTGAACACGCTTAAAAGGGAGTGTTGATATAAACCAATGTGTCTCTAACAATGGCATATAGTATTAACTAAGATATTACTATGCCATGCTTTTATTATTATAGTAACTACATCATACACATCAATTTTAGGCTCTACATTTGATATCAAAGCATTAATTGATATTTGTATAAAATTATTTTGATATTATGCTTTAAATAATGCTATAATACTTATATCCATTGATTGGTAATAGATTGTAGTATTTGGTGGTAAAAATTCCAGTCTTGTAATATTAATTTTTGCTCTAATAGTCATAATTTTATGTCCTAAAAAATTATCAAGCAATATTTATATATTTTTTTCTTTTGTGCAAGACACATCTTTTCTTTAAAGTTTAAAAGAAATATTTTGAACATTGATATTGTCATCCATGCTCAAGAATTTGCTCTCCATAAAATTTAAAATTTTTAGGCCTTATAACATTCATCACACTAAAAGCTCTTAGATTTAAACTTTCATTGATAACAAAAAGAGGCAATTTAAAACTACCATCCATATTTTTTTTTAAATGATAGTAATTTATTCTTTATATTATTTTTTTACCATTATTGTGTTAAAACTTAACTATTGGTAAAAGATAAAAATATTGGTTTTATTGTAGAAGAGCCTAGTAGAAAGACATAGTAGCAAAACATGAATAAAATGTAGGAAGTTAATAAAAACTTTTAATATTAATACTATCTTTCTATTAAAAAAGGCTTCTACTTACTTTGTACAACTATAAGTAAAACAATCAAAATATATTAAAAAAATAAATGATATAGACACCTTTAGAGATTAATTAAGATTAGTTTTTAAAAGAAATTACATTAAGAAACCAAGAATTGATATCCAAAGAGGACTAATTGCAAACCAATGTCAAATTTAGATCTTGAAATATAAAACTGTGCATCTATTGCAATTTCAAGATTTTTTGTTGCTTAGAGAGTAAGATATAAGAGAAAACTTTAAGAAAGTTGTTTTAACTTTGATTTCAAGTAATTTGGAGGCATATCAAGTTTTTGAGAGCTTTTCAAAGTAAAAGATGTATTCAAAGGTTTTAGATTTTGAGAAATAAAAAGAGGCTCATATATTTGCAGAATTTGCAATTATTATAGCAAATTTACAATTGAAATATTATAATTTTTTTTTATTGTGCTTATCTTGTGTGTGCTCTATAAATTTGATGTCAATCAAATAATTAGATTGAGGGATATGAAAGTTTTATTGGATTGAAGTCTTAGATATTTAAATTTTAGGATTGGTGAAGTCTTCTATGATTCTAAAAATTTATGAAAGCATATTTGGCTTTAGTATCTATACATTTATAAAATAAGAAAGCAATTGAATGGTTCAACAAAGAACAATTGCTGCTAAAAAATCAACATCTATATTGGAAAAGAAGGATGGCCAATATCTAAGGATTTTAGAAGTTCTTTCTTTCATTTAGTAAGTTTGATTTTCCTCAAAAATTGTGTGCTTATTTTTTTCTTATAAATTAAATACAAATAAAATTTTGATCAAAAGCAATGGTTCAATTAATAGCTATTGAGATTTTAAAATAGCTATAGGAATTGGTTATGATTTACTTAGAATTTACTTGGATTTATTTAGGAATTTTTAAGATTTTATAAGAATTAATTAGAATTTAATTAGGATTATTTAGGATTTATTTAGAATTTCTATTTTTAGTATTTTAAGTTTTTTAAAATATTTATTTATAATTTTTTATGTTTCTTTTGTAATTTCTTTTAAAATATTTTTAGAATTTATTAAAGTTTGATTAATATTGTTAATGTTTAAGTGGAGTTTATTTATAATTCTATTAAATTTATTAAGACCTTGTTGTTACAAATTCCTATTTATATTCCATAGCTAGGTGTTTGGTGCATTTTCAAGTAAGAATCCACATAATACAATACTAATCAATCAATGGATTGCTAAAAATCAATTTGGCTCCATACAATAAAATAATTCAGCTTCATCCATATTATAAACATCAATTAGATAATATTCTTGTATCAAATTCTCAATCACAATCATTTCAAATTGAATTCATTTTGATTTATTTGTAGAGAGATATTTACCATGCTTTGTATAAGATTTAATGTCATAATGCTTTTTAAAATTCTCTAATCATTTTTTAGAAAAAAAAAAAAAAAAAAAAAAAAAAAAAAAAACTCCCTTTTTGCTTTTCTCTTCTCAATTCTAATATAAAACCTCTTAGTTGCTACAATAATTATGTCTCCTATTAATGTGGCATATCTTTCTTGCATCACAAGAATTCACCTTTAAGTAGCTTCTTTAATAAGTAGACATTCAAGTTTTTTTCTTCCTCCTTTTATCATTGAAAGACTTTGATATAGTGAGAAACTTTTATTTCTATTTGAAAAGTTTTAAAATAGCTATTTTTTCAATTAAAAATCTCACCTTAGAAGATGCCTACATTACCAATGCACAATTAGTCATAGGATTTATACAATTTTTTTCTCTCTAATTTTTATAGACATCCAACAAGAAGATTTTAAGGATATTTTTAAAATATTCTATTAAGTTTTAGAAAGATTTAAATATTCTTAGAATATTCTAATAAGATATCTTAAAATATTCTTAAGATATTTTAATAGAAGATTTTAGAAATATTTTTAGAATATTTTAAAATATTATGATATGTTATTAAAATATTCTAATAGATTCTAGAAAGTTCTAAGAAGATTAAAGAAGTTATCTAAGAAGCTTTCTAAGGTTGCTTCATCTTCAAGTAATATTGAAATTTCTCAAGAAGCTTCTTTATACTTAGTATATATTAGAATCAAGGCTGAGAGGATTCTCAATCTTGACAATACATCTCTTGGAGTTCTAGCTCACTTTTCTTAATGTTGATCTTGTATTCATCTGATTTAATCAAGTTCTTCTTAGCTATCTTATTGAACCCTTTTGTTCAACTTCTTGTTTGGTCTCTTGTATAGTATATCTATGACACTTATAATGATTTCAAATCAATTGATTCTATTCAAAAGTCAATTCTCAATACTTCACTCTATTATCATATCCAAGTGCTGCATTCACTGGAAGTGACATGTTAAAAATATTCTTGAATCATTTTATTCAAAATATAATTATGAATACATAATACTATTATAATCATGAATTTAAATTTGACTTAAAACTAAATTAAGTCAAGAATTGATAGAAATATAAATTACAATATTATACAATAGTTTCATAAAAGAATTCTACTTTAAATTCTAACTTTACACCATGAATTATATACCAATTTAATACTTTATTTTAATGATTTAATTTATACAACATCCTACTAAACTAATTATCCTCCAAAAAAATCAAATCTATAATCAAAATAAGCATGCAATAAGTATTGCAATAATAATAGATAGAAAAAAAATTTAGTTTTTTTTAAAAAAAAAAAAAAAAAAAAAAAAAAAAAAGACTTCAACTCAGCACATGGTAGATTAATTGGACCATTTTGAATCCAAATCAGCAAAAAAATCTCCAACTGGAATTATTTTTTGGTAGATGTATGCACTCCAAAAATAAAAATCAACATTGTTTTAAATTTATGGTACTCATATCTATTAAAATACAACTCCAATTGGCAACTTTTTTGCAGATTTGGACTTGAAATGATAGAGTTAGTTTGGATAATCTGTATTCACAAGAAAATTTAGACAAAAAAAATAAATTAAACATCAAATCATATAGATAGAGATGTATAACTTACAATATTGTTTTATTGGAAATAAGAGCAATACACTCTATCAAGTTACACTTAAGCTTCAAAAAAGTTACCTTACAAAGTAAAATAACTTATATTAAGGTAAACTTTATTGAGGTTTGATTGTAGTGAACTATTACCCCAATCCAAAAGTAAAAACTGATAGCAGCAGGCAAAATCTAATCTCGATCATGTCAAGGATTCACTCAAAAGCGTGATCGAGTACAAGTTTTCGGATTCTAGACCTAAATTCCCCCATAGAGAGAACGTGGCTTGATCTATCAGAAACCAAGGCTCAGAAGCGCATTTGATGATCACAGTCGAAATCTCTCGACAGCTCAAATGTAAGCACCTCCACACAGGTTCTCCCAACTTCCGACGCACTGCCTCTTCAAGCTCCTAACCAAAAATTGAGCAGCATCTGCACAAAGCTATAAGTCAGAAAATTTTGATTCCATAACTACTCGTATGAGATACAACAAATTGATTTATCCAGAATGGGACATCGAGTTACACGAGGACAGTAAAGACAACGAGAATTTTAAAAACACAGAGAATTTTAAATTTTAAATTTCAAAATAAAATAAAATAAAACAAAAAACGACAAGACTATGCTTCATAGTCTTAGGAGTTAATTCCTCCAAGAAACCAACCGCTTTTGCAGGAGTTCCAGCGGCCAGACTGCAGTCCACCATGTATGTAACCGTTGCCCATTGTGCAAATCATCACAAACAGTCCTTTATTCAATGAAGAAAAACAAAGCACAATGGAATTTACATGTGTAACATTCACATGATGACATCCATAAAAGAAAAGAAACATGGGGGTTGACCTGTGAGCTGGGACATCCTTCAACACAAGAGATCCTGCTGCAACCATTGCTCCCTGGCCGAACACAATATTTCCAAGAATTGTTGCCCAAACATCAAGTACTCCCTCTTGTATCTTAGGATGTCGGTTTTCTGCATCTTTACCTGTTGCTCCAATTGTGACACGCTGTCAAAAACGTTGCCATTACCAATGTTCCCTACGAGCTTGAGACAAGTTCATAGCATACAAAGCACACAGCAATACCGAGCATCCATAAAAATCGTTGACATCTCACCCACTTCAGAAGATCTAAAACAGCTGTAGAACAAAAATTTGCACACCTAAGCGAAGGGTTTGTCCAATGTAAGCATTGTACTCTTTCTAAGAGCGAGATACAAACTAACTAATTGTTCAAAGACAGATCTTTTTCTTTTTCAATATGCCGTTACCAATTTTTATTAAGAAGAGGGACCATTTCAAATACCTGTAGCATCGACATATAATCGCCAAAAACAGCGATCTTTCCAATTACTAATCCCCTACCATGATTAAGAAAATCTAAGCGTCTAATATAAACCTGTCAAAGTTGGATGGATCGATGTACACTAAACTTAGTTACTTCTGAATATGCAGAAGTCAACAAGATAGGACTTACGAAAATGTTACACAATTATGGAGTTTTATTGCTTTAACTTCCGCCTCATTTGAGAACTCAGACAGCTAAGCTTCACTTTACGAATACGCTATCAAAAACTCCGTCAGTATGCTGATGAGCAGTAAAATCCACGCCAACAATATAAATATACTAACCTGGATGAATGGCCACAGCAAAAACCTGTTCAGCCAAAATATACTTTCAAGAACTTAATAGGAAAGGTGTTCGCATGTAATTACCTTCCAAATAGCCAAGGGATAGTGTTATGCATTCTCCACATCTAGATTTGCAAACAACCATCAAAATTAGAAACATTTTATAGATATCCCAAGGCATTTCTTCTGGCTGCAACTTGAGCTGCTGTTCTTTACAGGAAAGAGTGGATTGCTGTTGATGAGTGTCCATTACTGACAGCATTCCAGTTTCCACCATTCTGTTTATTCATAGGCATTGAAATAATGCTTTAAGGAAACAGAACCTGAGAGAAACTCACTCATACGGGATTGTAATGCAATTGCACTAATACACATACCCACGAAAACCATGCTCCAGCTTGACCCATATAATGCAGTCAAGTCGCTCATACCTCCAATCAAGCCTCGACCCTCATAACTGCCAAGATCGGATCCTAGGAGATCTGATCATTCAAATTCTCTCTTCTGATGGCAATCTAGTCGAAGAGTAGGGTGGAGTGGAACTTAAATTCAAACTAGAATTCAAGAATAGATTCAAGAGCCTTCGTTGATGTAGTGGCTGCAGCTGATGCTTTTGCAGCTGCTTACAATTCATTATCCCTATTGACTGGCCATTTCGATTTACTGATAGTACCTTCATACAAGAAAAATAGAGGAGAGCAATATTTACTCATATTTCTTCTGACACGCATGGATCAGTTTGATGTAGGTTGAGAAACTGACCCAGTTGGACACACATAATTCACCAGAAAAAATCCCTGTAGACTCTAGGATTGTTTCCAAGGTTTCGAAACAGCGGCATGCGTATTGACCAAACGGACGATGATAAAATTGTAGTGTTAGCAAAAGCCAGGACACAGAAAACTAGTCTGAAAGTAATCTGTTGATCAGATATCATACCTGCACAAGTTCATCGTTTTCACTATCTGACTTATCTTCTTTGCTTTGCAACTAGGATGGAAACAGGTTCTTCCATTCAGCACTCTCCAATTTAGAGACTTGGTTCATTGTTCCATTCGACTCACTCCCATGGATGTTTTTGACATAGAGTTTTCTGAACCACTTCTCAAATGTTTGGATAAGGCACCTTTCAAAACTTTGTAGCTAGTCCGACTTTCATCTTTAGCCTGCTGAACTTACTACGTTATCAAGCCAGATCTTGAAAGCTGCAGTAGCTGCTATCTTTGGATAGTTCATCCTCTCAACGCCTGCACAAACATGAGTCAAAAAAAATTCAACATGTGATGCAAAATACACCTAGCATTTTATACTGATCTAAGACTAGCAAGCATAAAAGACAAAATAAGGTGAGTTCAACTCTCATTTTTCATTCATCACTTTGGTATCAAAATAAGCAGTTTCCTCATTATATATTCCAGCTTGCTCTTCAAGGCAGCTGGAGATCCACCAGGCACACCATCTCTCATTGCGAGTTGTAACATAACCAACTTCCTGACAGCTTTGCAGACTCCAAAAGGAGCTCATTCCTCATCGAATTGTTCCAAATTACAAACAGGCCACAAGAAAATATCTACTCTAACATTCATTCGGGATCACTAACAGTTTTACCCGCACAGAAACGCACAAAATTTAGAAACCTAATCTGTCGATGGTATCTGTCACCAGCACATCACATGCAACTTCAGTTTCCAACCATGAGAACTCAACTGGACTTTTACTCGCACATTTTAAACCAATGAATCTTCACCCTTCTTCCAATCTAAAAAGTAAGGAGCCTTCCACTTACACCTACGCACCAGCAACGCAACACAAAAGGCATGAGGAAGGACCTCACTCCACAAAACCTTTGCATACCACAGGCAGCCTAAAGTGGCTGGGATCACATTCTAGAAATCTTCTCTAAACACAACACCGCACATCCGAGTTGATTTTAAAACCATAGTTTACACAAGGCAGGATTACACTAATGAAATTCGAATGAGATCAGCTAGAATCCTGCAACGCAACCCTATTTCATTACGCGAAAATGCTTATTCCAGAAGGTTAAAAAAAAATGCGAATAATAGCTACCGAGGTACCGTTTCCATACCCAGGCGGCCCTATACCTTCGAAGGGTAGGTACAGCAATTGAGGCCCGGAACCCCATCAAATCCTGATCAGTATACCCTCCGGGTCTCAGTGTCCACATAATGGTGTAACAGAGAAACCTGGCTATTCTGGACTTGGATAAACAATAGTTTATCTGTTTATTGACATTAGCTTGCATTTTGGTACTTCAGTAAAAAGCTATGATGAACGGTATGTAAACTGACTTGCAGTAATGATAATAGAAATCATAATAGTGCTGAAGTAAAGATTATGAATTGAAATTACAATTAAAAAGTGTGATTTGAGCTTGATTTGCATGTTGTTACAAAGGCACTACTTTGCATGTCAGCACACCACTTGGAAACATCCACGTAATATTCCAATAGTAAACCCCCACGCATACGTTTTTGATAGATAGAAAATAGAAACTTAAAACTGAACTTTGAAGTACAATATCTGCTAAGGATTAGTACTTTCAATGTGAAGTCAGCATTTAGTTTCATGACTCCACTCCATTACATCCTAAAGTAGTATTCATCCTGAGCTCAGCGGGATTTTAAAATCCTAGTTGAACCCAAAGTATTGTTGAGCAAGCGATTGCAATGAGTTCCATATACCCGGGCTCGGTTCGAAGGTTATCATTGCACTCATATGGGTATGAGGCGGGTATAAATAGGTGGTTCCTTCCCTAGAGGGGGAGGGGGGGGAAGCGGTCGTGCGCAGGGAGCAGGAGATTTTGAGGACCCAGAGCTCGGCACGAGGCTCTCTCTCACCGCGAGAAGGCAACACCGTTTGCAGTATCTCTTCGGCTCTCCTGCCGCTTCTAGGATCCACTAGCTCCGCCATATTCTGCAAGTTCAAACTTTTACCGTCTGCTGGGTTAGAAGGAATTGGTTGTGAGGTCCCTTTGCATGTGCTCGGATGGATGCCGGGTAATGAGGGATTTATTCGCCGCGTGAGGTAAGCATGTTCAGTGATTTGGGATTCTGTGTTTTTTTTTGCGTTGAGATGGGGCAGGTCGTGGCATGGAAAGCGACGCACACATAATGTTGACGTTTTTTTTTTTTTTTTTTTTTTTTTTTTTTTTTTTTTTTTCCCGCTTCGGTCGACATGGCAGTGGACTCTCGAGAGTTGCGGGTTTTAGACGTGGAAGCGAGTGGAGAATAGGGTTTTATAGTGGTTTCCTGGGTTTTTTCTGAACGAGTTTTCTGGTGCGGAGTGATTTAACAGAAATCCTTGGATTAATACTCACCTTCTTTAGTTGGATTTGCTGATGCGGTGTTCCAAGGTAATCATTTCTTTTGAGACATCACATACAATTTGTTAAGAGCACCTTCAGTTCTCGAATTCTTTGGTGGAAAGTCTCTGACTCCTACGCCTGATAATTATTTTTGTTTAATGCAGTAGTAGTAGCCGACCTCGTCCATTAGAATTTAGTTAAAGGACTGTCTTCAAGTTTCAAGAGGTTTGATTACTGTTTCTCATTATATGCGCTGTTTTTTCAGTGAGTTTACCGCTCTGTATACTAATTCATGGCGATTGTTTATTTTTGTTGTTAGGTCGATGATATCGGCATTTGTGGTATTATTTTGCATTGGATTCTAATGTTTTTCGCCCATCCTACATGCAGTGAAAGGTTCCTATCACGTGGCTCAAGGTCGGTTAGGGAAGATTAGTAGGAAGGGTTTTATAATCAAGGCGTAGCATCGGTTTTTGGGAGAACACAATGCATTCCAGATACAGGTCAAGTGGATTTCCTTCTTCTCGCACTCCTTCTCCGTCATATCGAAATCCCTCGAAAGCCAGGAGCGACTTCACAAGCAGACCTCCGAATTGGATAGCTCCTGGCCGTGACACGGATCAACCAGCCGGGTACGGTGGCAGCTCGTATGGTGTTCGTAATGAAGGGCGAACGCCCTTCGATGATAGAGGTGATAGAGACAAGGAGAAGCTAGCCAGCGAAGCAACTAGATTGGCTGCCGAATATTTTGCCTCGAAAGATGACAAGTACTCTTCGCGAGGTGGGAGGTTCGACGAATCAATGACGAAGAATTACAACCTTCCGTACATGGACGCTGGCCCTCACCGAGAAGGTCGTGGTGTTCGTGACACTCAATTCTCTCGAGCGTCTCACGAAGAATTCAGCTTTAGCCAAAGCAACCCTAAGTATGACTCCAAGTATGATCGTAAACCTTCCTCGTACAGGGATCCTGCGAGAGCACCCTTTGACGAGCCTCGTTATCCACGAGGCGGGCATGCTGAATCGCGAAAGTATGATAATTTCGGGGACAGGGGAGATTTCATCGGGACTGCATCGTATGAGAGTTCATTCCCCAGGGATGCTTTGGGGGATAGTTTCACAAGAAAGTATGATGGTGATTATAGAGCCCCGATTGGAGAGTCCGGTCATTCAAGCTACTATGCTGGTGCATATGATCCTTACGCATCGTCCAAGGACCTCAAAGGGCGTGGCAGAGATCGCGATGGAGGATACAGGGATAGGGACCGGGGTCGAGACCGAGACCGATACAGGGACAGAGATGATGCATGGGATCGTGAGCGGCGGTCCTTTGATCCCTTCAGCAGCGATCGTAAGAATGGTAGCGGGGGTGGTTATGATCGCAGTAGAAGAGATGACGTGATTTCCACCAAGCGGAAGAGCAGACCTTTTGACGCGTCGTATTCTGGTGATGCCCTCGACCGCAACAGTTTCCCGGTTGGAAATGAGCTCTTTGCTAAGGAGCCGTCTTCCAAAGATCTCTTTCTTGAGACAAATCGACCTCCTCAGTATTTGAATCTTCTTGATGCTGATAGCTCCCGTAGGCGGCAAGAGTCTGACCATGATATGAACGCTTACGACTACCCAGGCTCTATGGATGAGATTTCACGCCGAAATAGTGGAAATCGTAGTCCCCCGTTACCCTCAGATAGGGCAGACTTTCGAGAACCGCGTGAGTTATTGGAGCGTCCATTTCCTCAGGATGTGTCGGGAGGAAGGGATAATTTCCGCCGAGAGTTGGAGCTGGAACCAGCTCCTTCAAGTTCATTGGGAGAACGTGACGAGCCTTTATTGGGTCCCAGGGCTGGCAGCTTCGATGTGAAAGAGAAATCTCGATTCTCGTCTTATAGCAAGGAGCAAGCGCGCTATGTTGACAACGAGCCCCGCTTGCGTAGTTCATCCTTTGAGAAGGGTCGGTCACCTGCTTTGGATGATCGCTCACGTAGCAGGTAATGCTCCTTGTCATATATATATATATATATATATATATATATATATATATAATGTTCACAGCTTCTTTGTAAAACTGCTTTTTGATCAGACCGTTCCATGGAAAAAGTTAGTTCTAGGTTAGTGTTTTGACAGCTTAGAGCTTCATTTATATGTGCAGATATGATACAGGCAAAAGTAACGGTCATGTTTCACGCGTTGAGCCTTCAAGTTTAAGACACTCAGGGTCACATCATGGAAGTAGTGGGTGGAGGGACAGTAGCGACATGGATGTCGAGCAAAAGAATCCCCCTCCACGCCGAAGTCTCTCAGAACGACTGGGACCTCTGAACGATGAAAAGTTATCAAGGTTTTCAGATCGTGGGGCTTCTGACGGTCCTTTCAATCAGTACAGTCGTGGTCGGGGTCGTGGGCGTGGTCGCGGTCGCGGTCGCGGCCGTGGTCGTGGGGACGACGATTTTGGTAGAAGTTCACTGTATGATCGTAATAGACCCCCCTTTGACTATCGAAGTCGTGACGAGGTTTTAAGTGACAGGGGTAGGGGGCGAGGTAGAGGCAGAGGAAGAGATAGAGGCGCGTTCCTCTCGAATGAGGCGTTCCGTGGCCGTGATCCTGGTCCTCCCAGAAAATCCCAGAAGCGAGACCATGACATTGAACTGCCACCTCGTCCTTCTTCACAAGCAGATGAATTCCTCAATATGCACAACATGAGAGCGAAGAAGACAACTACAGAACCTTACAAAGAGCATTCAAAAGAACACATGTCTCAAAGGAGAAAGGAATCCCATCGTCATTTATCTTCCCAGAAGCCAAGCAATCGTCTAGAGTCTCATCTGGATGCAAGGATAGAGGACAGGTCTGTTGGATCTAAAGACAGAGATTCGCAGGAGAATCGAGATGCTTCTAGTATTGATAATTCAAAGAGTGGTGTAAAGCCACGTGCAGAAGAAGAAGAAGAAGAACAAGAACAAGAAGAATTGAAGGATGAAGAACAAGAAGAAGAAGAAGCAGCAGCAGAAGAAGAAGTAACAGCAGAAGAAGCAGCAGCAGAAGAAGAAGAAGAAGAAGAAGAAGAAGTAGAAGCAGCAGAAGAAGCAGAAGAAGCAGAAGTAGGAGCAGAAGTACAGGAGGAGGAGGAGGTCGAGGAACCCATGGATGTTTTCCTCGAGGCCCAGCTTGCAGCATCCATTAGTCTACGGGGATTTTTGAAGGATTTCATCGATGATATGGCAGACGACGAGAATGGTGCACCTGTAGGGAAAGATGTGGACGATGATAGTAGTGACATGATGTCAGATGATGAAAGTCAGGTTCTTGAAAACATCGCAGAAATGGAGGATGAGAATGGCAGAAAAGAGAAGGTCTTTGAGTACTTTGTGAAGCTATTCCAGGACAACCACTTGTTGCGGAAGCTCTACAAAGAGATGCAGGATTGTGGGCTGTTTAAATGCTTAGTTTGTGTCGCGGAAGGGAGGAAGTAAGTATTTATCCAGTACATTCCTGTGTTTCTTGGCATAATCTTCCGATCAGCTAGTTAATTCTTGATTCGGTGCTGTTAGAGGACTTGAGGGAATTGTCAACTGTACTTCATTGTAGATAATTTGTGCTAGAGCAAGCCAGTATCGAATTTTCTTTTTTTGTCTTTTTTTTCATGAGGCGTTTCTCTGACTGTCCAGGACAAAGAGAAAATATTTAGACGTCGCACGTATAATACAGCATTCGCAGAAAGTCAGAAGAACTAAGAATATTCAAGCACACCAAGGTTATGCTCAGGCGATACGCGATCTGCTTGGGTGGGATTCTGAAGCTCTAGAAACGGAGGTACTCAAAACTGACAAAGAATTGTCTTCGAGACAGGTAAAACTTCTTTCCAACTGGTTGTTGCTATCTTTCTACCATTCGGGAATTTAACAACTAGCTAACAATTGAGGTTTCTTAAAGTCTTTGAACGTGCAAACATAATTTTGATTACACTGTATACATATCGATGCGACTGTGTAGGAGATAGTATTGTGTTGGTATTGTTCATAATTGTAACTTTCTTAATCAGAGTAGTGTATGAATCCTTTTAATGTTAAGGTTTTGTTCCCATCAAAACTTGGCTAGTCTCTCACTTTTAAGTAAATAAGTAGATTTGAGGACTGTTTATGCAGGAGGATTGGGACGCGGAGACCCGTGAAGCACCAGAATCTAAATCTGTTCAAGATTCAACCTCAATACCGACTTGAGAAACTAGGTACCTCTCCGCTTATACCATGCTATCTGTCTTTTTTTATGCACCTCTGACTATTTTATGCTTGGTTATCTGTTTCTTTGTGAGCGGCTTCTGTAAAATGTAAGTGCATTGTCAGCTGTATTCATCCAGGCTCAGCATCATTTGTGAAGCATCTGGTTAGACTCGTCCTCTTACACTCTCCTCTGGTGAGCTGTTTGCTCATACATTACCTTTTCCATTAATTGGTTCACCTACTCCCTTACACTGTAGCGAACCAAGTCTGAAATCCTTGATCGGCAGGATTCATGGTTGCTATCATTAAAATCCTTTAACCGTGAACAAGATCCACTTGGGTCCAGCTATTCCCTACCACCCAGTTTTCTCCTATGTGGTATTCCAGACTCTTCTACTCGAAGATATTTACTGCACCTTCAGACGATCTCATCCTGAAAAGTTACCATTAGCTATGCAGATTGTCTGGTGAATGCAAAGTGTTCGCTTCAATGAGATGGTGGTCGATGGACTCAGTTACTCAACAAAGATGGAACTTTTCCATTCCCATGAAGCACAGTAGAATTCATCTCTCGATGTACCAAACCAAGACGACAACCCTCTGACCATGCCTCTTTTTTGACAATACCCAGAAGACCTTGATTTAACCTCAGCCCTGCATTACCTGTCTTAGTTTCCTCAGCCGTAAATAGTATTCTCTTTGTCACTGCCTATTCTCATCTACACCTAGTGCAGCATTCATTTACTAAACGTGAATTCCCCTGCCACAGAACGTTTCTCTTACACTCATCCCAGATGCTGCCTGTCGATATCGCTCCATTCGACAGTGTGGCCAACAGGAAAATTGGAAGGTTTGGAGTGGGCTGCTGGATATTCTCTTGTTAACCTAGTTGGAAGTTTGACATTCCCTGCATACAACGGTGGTTTCGATGTTTTGGACCTCTTCTCTAGGTAGTGATAGATCTTTTAGCTCTGCCAATGGTTGGGACTCCTGAGGCCATCAAGCTACAAAGATTGTATACTCTCCATGCATCGAAAAGGTCGAGGTGTGGAACCATTTAGGACTACTGGAGCCAAGGATTTGATGCCATGTTGAGACTTTTCCAATAGTACGTATTTTATAGAACCTAACAATACTCAGAAGAAGTTCCCTTTTTGTCTCCCCCCAAATGGTTGCAGTCTCCTGGATGTGATGTTTGTCCTGGGCGAATTCTCAAGAGGCCAACAGACTTGGTTGAATGGTTGAGAAGAACTGATTTACTATCACAATTTATCTTATGGGAAGCTCGGCTCATGTTTTATTCTTCAGTGTATTGGAGTTTTCGAAACTTGTACACAAATTCGAATTTCGCTACACAAGAGGTAGAGTAAAAGTATGTTTACTTCTCCGAATTTAAAAACCTGAAGTCGTGGACTGGTGGCGATCAGGGCCCTGTCAAAGTCGTGAACAGGTGGCAGCCCTAAATCTGCTTGTGGTGATCCTCTTATTCTATTAAACAGGTGTTCTTAAGGTGACAGATCACTACTTCCAAGTGGCTGATATTCAATCCTTGACAAGTGACGTGGGTCAAGAACGTTTCATTACTTCCTGCTGGCTTTGATCCGTAATTCACCTGACAGTTTGAAATCATGATTGACACCGAGATGCAGGATGTCCAATACAACGGGCGTATTCTAGGTCCCAAAGAAAGTATGGGGGTTCACCCTACTCCCTCCACCCTAGTTCTGGTGATGGAAATCCTATAACTGACACTGAGACGATGACTCACCACTTGAGCTGAAATAGATTAGAATGAACAGTTTGCAATTAACGTTCTGACGAAACAAATGTCAGGTTATGGATCCAGCTGCCAAATTTTCACTTCCATTGCTAGGTAAGCCAAAAGTGATGTCACTTAGCGTTTTGAACAGAACTGAGCGCGACTTGAGAGTCTCAGCCACGTGGAAAGATTTTAAGACGGTCTTCACTGATAGACTAATTTGGTGGGAAGTAAGAGAAGAGGTTGGGCCAGGAGCAAGTCGTTAGTTACTATGTTCTTAAAAGTTGAAGTTGGGTGTCGTGAAAGTTGCAGAGATCACTCATAGTACCCAGAATACGTGAAACTTTTGTAAACGCCCTCATCAAGCAAGGGGATCACAAAATTTCCAGGGATACTTTCATTCTTGAAAAACTAACTAGTAAGAGCTGAAAGCTGATAAGAAACAAACCCTACCGACTTATCAATTTCAGTGTGCCATGGAAGTAACCGAGAAGGGTTTTTTTGGAACAATAATCAAGCCTGGAAATGTGGTTGCACGATGTGGTGAGGTTCAGCTTCAAATGGAAGCTTCCTACAAGCTTACGACCACTGCAGAGATTCCTCACCCAAGAAAAAATCACGAGTCCCGTGCTGGCCAGACACAAAAGCGTGGGATCTGGGTCCACTGATGGTGCTGTTATTGGATTAGGTTTGGCCAAAAAAATCAAATGTATATTAGTGTGAAGACGGGCTTGAATTGCGTATGGTTACAGCTTCATTTTAGAGGCACCGGAACTTGACAGCCTCACTGCAGTAATGGTAACCTTGTATTATAATATATAGTAAATATTTACAACAAATGCACTCTGTGAGCCTCTTGTATGCTAGCTCTGGTGAGCAGAGTATATTGCAGGTGGGATTCCACGATGTGGTGGCTTGCAGTGACTCTGAGCAGCTCCAGTTTCAGGATTTCCGTGACTATTTGGGTTGGCACCAAAGAGTTTTAAAAAACAATTTTCTTACGTCTGTACTGCGTGACTTCTTTCTTTTCTTAAAACTTTTTCAAACCAGTTACACGGTTGAAGGCTGTTTGGAGGGTCACTATATATATATATAAGAAGATATAAGACAGAGATAAAGAAGTTTCACCCCATCTATAAAATAAGGAAGTTTAGGTCTAAGACAAAGAAATTTGTCACCCTGCACGACCTTTATTCTGTATCTGTAAACAGCTTTTTCTTGCTCAACAGTACTGGTTTCCGCTAGTATATGTGTATATGATGTCACTAGTAATAATATTTAATGAAGCGTCCTGGTAATAATATTACAAACAGTGTTCATCTTACGAAATTGTCCTCCTCTAAGTTGAATCGACCATATATATATATATATATATATATATACACACACACACACACACACATATTAATTCTCTGTTTTCCTTGATTGTTTAAAATGAGGATAGGTAGCATCGACAGAGCAGCAAACTTGAGATCTGATCACCATTCAAACCCCGGTTTGCGTAACTAAAAAATAATTATCTGCGTCTGTACCTTTCACTCTCGTTTATGTTTTTTCTTCCAATGGCCATTTAGTGGAATGAAGATTTCATCCGGATCATGTAGCGCTTCGACACAAGGAACACTTCGACAGGAACAGTGTTTAATCCGGAATTAGTGGTGACAGGAACTCTCTAGTGCCCACGCGCTGACTTGGAAGCATCGGTTCACAGGCGTGTTTGAACACGGAGGATGGACGTTTATCAGCGTGAAACCGATGACCAACTCTTCGGAAGAAATCACATGCGGCACCAGGAACACGAGCATGCCAATCGAGGAACCAACACAGTTATGCACGTGGCAAGGTTTTTCAAATTTTGAGTTAATTTTATATATATATATATATATATATATATATATATATTTTCAGGTATGTCCAGTTCTAAATCCTCACACTTCGATTGTGATCCCTTTAGACAAAATCAAGTCCAAGTCGTTCCATGTATCTAGCGTAAGGAGGGTGAGAGCATGGGCCCGAGAGAAGCACAGGTCGCGATGCCTTCCACGATCAGGCACTGAAATGGCACGGCGGGCTTAGATTTTTCGCTTTCCCACCAGCTGGGATACTAGTGAACGACACCAGCCGGGCGTCTTCCACGCGCGTGGTGGTGAAGGCAGATCACAGCTCTTTAGGGACGGATTGAGGCGATGGATCTGATGACTAACTACGCCCGCTGGGAAATCTGTACGAGAGGCGCGGTCTGGAATCTGGATCTACAGTGCACGCCTGCCGTGAGAGCCGGAATCTTTCTTTTAAAAAGGAATAAACCAGAAGATTGGTTTGAATTTCGAGGGCGCAGGCATGAATCTCTTGCGTGAAGGCTTGCAGACAAAACCACGATGGCGGGATGATGGTTCCAGCCCACGGGGATTAGAGATGCTAGGGATATTCTGCGGGGATGCAGATTTACTTCACTTGTTGGAAGTGTGTCACCACTCTCAAATCGGGTTCCCAAGGATCACCTCAGATATTTGCACATGGTGCCGGACAGTCCATTAAACCTCTATCGCCTTCCGCCCCTTCCTCCGCCCCCCCGGAGATACACGACAACAAAGAAGACGACGGAGAAGACGAAGATGACGACGTCGAAGGCAGATGAGCACGATTCATTTTTCTTTAATGGAGTGAATCTATGTATGTATAAAAAAGAAAGATGGATTCCATACCAAAGACAAATACTTCAGCGAGAGACAAGCCTGTTCATTGATTGTTATGGCTTTCATTCTTATTTTTTGTTTTATTCACTAGAATATTATTTGTCGTATCCAATAAATGTTTATAAAGTAATGGAGTAGGAAGTGTAGTTTGAAAAAACTGTACGTGTACACGTTCTGAACATATTTTTTAGGATGTGTCTGCATTTGCATATATGAAAGGAGAAAGGGATTGAAGGAATTAAGTAAAATATATGTAAGTGATTATGAAATGTTACAGGTCTGGCCAATTTTGTGGAAATCGATTGATGCACATTGTGGAATAGAGACCTTAGAACGACAGAAATTTCATCCATTCGAAGCAAAGGTCGTTAGCTAAAGTTTTACACGATGACACAGCAAACCGTCGCTTCGTTCTCTGGGAGTTTTGGTCCCTAATGCGAAAGTTATGAAAAGTTAAAGCCATTACGGTGTGTGTGCAGTGCAATGGACAAGGCAATCATTTCTAGCCACTGGCGACAGAGTAGGTAAGTCACTAACGTTTCATCAACAATCAGTAGTTGCTTCAAAGTCGGGATAGGAGTTTACATCACGTCAATTCACAAAACTGTATCCAATGCTCATTTCTTTTCTTTTCCAGATATTGTCTGTATGGTGATCACTATTGTACATCATTTAACATGTAATCCCGCTTTCTTCAGTTAGCTATTTAGGTGCTGGCTGCTCACTGTACAATCAGTCACGGACAAGATTAAATCTTCGTTTTACTGTTATGGGTGATGCCACAAGGTGTGACCTTCCATCAATAGTTGCACGTATATCCGACAAGCGGATTTGCGCCACACGTCACGAAATTGGCATGTGAACACATTTTGTTTAATGAAGTATAAAACGTGTTACTATTCGTTTATTTGTCGCCATCAACATTTCACGCACAATGGGTAATTCGGGAAGTACTTAGAGGAAAATATGATCAGGTGCATTTCAGACACACTTACAAAAGTACGAAGCTCATTTGTAAGAGGTCTAATCGGCCAATCTACAGTAACTTCCAAAATAATGCGGAACTCTCAGCACCGAAATGGATGGGGTATACCCTATATCCCGACTACACGCTACAAATGCACTCATCTGCTCACTTACAGTTCCTGATCCCTGTACATCCTCCACATTCGCGTTCCCACTTTCGGTGTACTACATATCACTGCAACAAAAAGAGGGCTTCAGTATGATCACAATTGGCAAACACAGTCGTGATTACTCAAGGGACAGATAGCAGTTAGATCTAAAACCGATTGTGGTCGTACATCATTCATCCTTCCAGTTTAAGAGAAAACAATTCCGTTCATACTACAAGCACATTATAACTTAATCAAATTCGCGGAGATAAACATACACTTACCGTATCAAACCGTTTTTCCTTTCATTTTCTTGATAGTCACTTTCTTGCAACCCTTGCTAGCCCCTGCGGCACTCCGGATCAAAGGCAGGGCAGCAGCTGCAACAGAGGCACCCTTCACATCCTTGAAAGTAATTTCTTTGAATGTGTGGAACACAACGATGCTTCCGCACGGTAACTCTTGACGGCTACTTCCATCACACATGTAGCCACTAGGGCAGATTGATTCACCCCATGACCCAGAGGCGTGCAAGGCCTTGTTCGCATTGCTTACATGTACTGACATGGCAAAGACGGCCGGTTTGAATGACGCGACAACTCTATCCACCAGTGATGGCAAATCCACCTGCCAAGGAGTGTATCCCATGGCCTCGAAGCTGGCGTAGCTTAGGCCGTCTTCAGGGGTAACATGGATAGTGGAATGAGCGCCTCCTTCTATGCCATTCATGGAGTAGCCACAGGGATCGAAGGCGAAGTCGCAAATGCGAGAGTCAGGCAACATCTTATCAATCTTCGCTGCCTTCGTCATGTCTAGCCCACTCTCCAGACCAGAAGCTTTAACAAAATTTCTGGCTGCCTGCCTGTCGAGCTGCGTCATGCACATTTCAAGCGAGTAGACGGGTTCAACGTCAGCCCCATGATCTGCGGCAGTGTAGATATGCCAGTTCGAGCTTTTACCCTTTCCACCCATCACGAAAGCCTTTCCTCCATCACCCAGATTTCCAAAGTATTCCTCCAAAAACCGCACCTCCTCGGTGAAACTTCCATGAGGATATGGCTGGACAGCAGGAAACAGGAATGTTCCTCGGGTGTACTTCACTCGACTTATCTTCAGCGCCAATTTCGAAGATATCTCTAGAAGTTGAGGAATAACGCAGAGGAGACGCGTGGTTCCGCAAGTTTTAATAATCATGCGATGAGGGTAGATGAAAAGACTTGACTCGGAGAGTACATAAGAATCGAGTTCAGTGTTGCTCATTTGGGCAACAATGGTGCACTCTGCGGCACGGAGCATGCTATCAAGTTCAGCACGGGGAATGGCCCGGAGTCCCTTACCCTCCGGATCCCTGAAGACAGGAGGGGCATGAAACTCAATGTCGAGTCTTTTCTCGAATCCTTCAAACCCTGGACTGGCCACAGAGCCGGCTACAGCACCCGTATCGTTCAAAAAGGACGCACCCATTTTTTCCTAAATGAGGTGGACTCTACAAAGCAAAGAGAGGCTACAAGAAAGAGGGGAGGTTGTACCGCTGTCCCGAGCGGGGAGCTGATCTGCGGATCCAGGAAAAGGAGTAGAAAATAGGAGAACAGACCAGCCCCAAAAATGAAGAAAGGATAAAATCTAATCTAGTTATTCTTCTGATGCACCTTTAGCAAATATCAGGATGGCTTGCGGACACACTGCACCAAAAACACCGCACAGGATGTCATTAGTGCATCCTTGAGACTACCAATGTGTATCGGAAGCATATGAAATAATCATCATAGTTCCAGGGAAGCGATATCCCATGCAATTCCAGATGGGGCACTTACGTTCGAGTATGCTGCGGTGCGGAACTTCTCGCTTCCTCCGTGCGGCCTTACGTCCTCAATCACGTATCCAAGCGGACTCTCGTATTGTATTGAACTCTTCGACTTCTTACCACCTTTGGTCTCCATTATAACATGCGTATGCCCTACACAACCGTTTCAAAGCAATTGCTCGAACACAATTAGAAACACGGTACACAGAGACGAACCCCGACCACCCCAAACCACCCATAGAAACTGAGACTTCCAAAGCGTTCGTGGCGACACCACGCTACACCACCGATTCACGTTACAACCACAACAAAACTCCGCATATCTATTACGCTAACTACTTGTAAACAACCATCTATTCCCAAACCCAATACTCACAATGAATTCGTCGTTTTGACGGACGTGGGATCCCCTAATTCAAAACTGCGCCAGCGACCGCGGCGCTTGCAAGACACTTCCCCGCTCCACCAATAATTACGAGCCCCGCCCGCACGACCAAAAACTCCACCAGAACACCGCTTCACTGGACTATGTGATGGCTAGTAAACAATCGCAGAAACGCACACACATGAGGAGGTTCGCTCGCGCACAAGAGGAGTGAAACGTAACGGCGAAGGTAGCGAGTAGGAAGAGAAGGAGAAGAAGAGGAAGGTAACCGAAAGGGCAGAGTAAGCGGATGGACGAACGATAATTAACCCAACTAGAAATGGGGCGTACACAGAACGAGGACTGAAACGTGCAGTGTTCTCGGAAGGAGAGGTTTACAGATTGCTCTCCGAATTCCTCCAATTCCAGGTGCTTTATAGTCCGTTGCGGGTTCGGGTGCGGGTCGGATCGGGATGGAATGAACGGCGCCCGAAGCTAGACGGTTATAGGCAGGCGCACAGGGCACTTGATGCGATGCTGATTGTGTGGTAGGTCGTTTCGGGAGTGTTGCTGTGGGAGTCTCGGTTGTCACTGCGTGATCAGTAGGCGAAGACCGGGGGGAGGAGGGGTCGTCTCCCCAACCAGATTCCGCCACGGCAGACGTGCTGCTTCGTCGCATTGCCACGCCTCAATAACCTTTCGCGTTTTTCTTTTACCTCTTTTACTTTTCTTTCTGATCTTCCCATGCGCGCTCCCGGCTTTTTCTTTCTTCAATCCTGCCCGCCTGTCGCCACCCCACGTCAGTAAAATAAAAGAGAACAGGTCAATTCTCCAATAGCCAACTCATGTTCATGTGCCCTTCGAACCACTTTCGTTATCACTTGTTATCGCTTTTTGAATAGTGACTATATCAAACTTCACATGAAGTGGAAATTGCTCAAAGTGGTATTCACAATAATTTTCTGAAAGGACATTTCATCTCGTCCACACCTCCGGTAGAATACTCGCGTTAACAAAAAAAAAAAAAAGTTAACTCTCTGAGAATTCAAACCAAGACCAAACATTGGTATATTTTAAATATCTCCTTTGGTCGTTTGATTTCAGGTGAGTAGAGGTCTTCCCGACAAAACAAAAAAAAAAAAAAAAAAAAAACCTTCAATGACTGGACGCCTTTCCATTGGCTAAAAAAGTAGAGCGCAAGTTTGTCGACATTCCATTCTCTTTGTGTAACCAATGGACGCCAACGGTACCCCCAAGCATCCGACGTGTCATTCCACCTGTGAGCGAGCCCTCGTATACTACAACCACCAAGACGTAATATTTTGAGTATATATATACGGTGGTGGCTACGGTGGGTGGCGAACGAACGGAAACTCCGCTATGAGGAACTTACAGTGATGGTGTAGTCCTCGCACCACAAGTTAGACTTGGACCAGCAGAGACTGACTGGGAACCCGTTGCTTCCGGTGGCAGCACCCCCTATTCCCGCCCACGAAAGCCGGGCCCTAGTATCGGGGATTTGGATCAATCATGAGCCGGGCACGGAAATAGGTCGACAGCCCACAAAGGGGGTGTTACTTACTAATAAGCTCCTCCCCACCCCCATCCCCGTCGCCCGGATCCCTAAAACGGTGACTGGCCCTAATTCTAGGGCTTAGCTTAGCCTTGGAGGGGTGCCCATTCCCATCCCATCCCATTCTTTCCGATGAAGCTGGTGGTGCCACTGGGCTGGGCTTATCAGGAGAGCCACACTAATTGGATAGAGTTGTATTAGGCTATATCTGGCCTGGAGAATTGTTGGCCTCACAATTGTGGGAAGGATTGCCGCTATCCCCTCAACCTCCCAAATCGGCGCCCTAATGCTCCATTTCACACTTCATTGATTGCCCTAATTTTGACACCTTCAAGGACAAGTATGGGTGGGTGTTATTCTACTCAGCGTAGGTGGCGTAATCTCACTGTCTCATCCGATTAGGGCTACACACACACACACACATATATATATATGATTGCCTTTGAGGTGAGCAATGGATTGTGATTGTAAGCAATTTGTGCCTTTGAAAATGTAAAATTAAAAAGATGGGTTGTTACTATATGAAGATTGAGAAGTCCTATTTTATGAATTTGTGTTCCTTTTCCAGTTTGGGTTCAATGATAAAGTATTTGCTTTCAACACAAATGGTAAATGATTTTTTAACTTCAAGGAATTTAAATACATTTTTATCTTATTTATTTGAAAGATGGGTTTTATAAATGCTTTCTTTTTGTGGATGTGGGAAACCCATAATTGTTTTTCAATGTTAAATAGAGGAAAAAATCAATAGAATATTGTAAGTTTTGGATACTTTTTTTACTTATTTTTGTTTAAAAAATTATGATGTCAACTTGTTATATGTAATTTTTTATACTTGTAAATATTGGTATTGTGGTATTTTTAAATATAACATTTTATTTTACATACACTTATTTACATTATGATCTTAGCTAACACTAATTATAATAAAAACTACTATTCAAATTTTAAAAGCCAAAAATTATAATTTCTTAAGGTTAACTAAATACTTAATTTTAATTTTAAGATTAAATTAAACTCTTATTTCAAATAGATTAAAAAGATTTTAGATAATTCTTATATATATATATATTCTTTTAATATAATCGTAAAATTAAAATTAAGTATTTGGTTAACCTTAAGAATTAATTATAATTTTTTTTTTATTAAAATATAAATATTCTTAAGGTTAACTAAATACTTAATTTTAATTTTAAGATTAAATTAAACTCTTATTTCAAATAGATTAAAAATATTTTAGATAATTCTTGGATATATATATATATATATATATATATATATATTCTTTTAAATAAAAAAATTGGTCCAACTATTAAGTTTGTAATTATATATTTTTAAATTTTTAGTTTATTAATAAAATTATTTTATTTTATAAATTTTATATAAAATAAAATAAAAATAAATAAATTTAAAATATAAGTTTTATAATAGATTATAATATAATAAAAGAAAGATGATAGCAATTAAGTTATGTACAATACATGTATGGATGTAAATAAATTGACATAGTTTCCATTGTTCCTCCATTTCTAGTCCCTTGTTCTATGTTCCAACCTCTATATCTTTGTTTTTGGCGCATATCCTCTGTCCATGAGTGTCATGGACATACATATTTTTTTCAATAATTATCTATATGAATAGGTAGAAGTAGATAAATGTAGATTAATTTCATAATATGTTTTAAAGAAGGTTCCTAAAAGCTTCATAGATGCAATTTTGACTTTACACATATTTGTAGTTGATTGGTAGGATAGAAACTTGATCAACAAGTTAACCATGTACTACACATGTTGATAGGTTGTGGAACAAACTAACTATGTGGTGTGCATATGGAAAATTTGTTTTGCAAGTTAAGACATATGTCTGACAAAGTCAATATGTATTGGAGGTCCTATAAAATATTGCCACATAGCTATTAATTAGATTGTATATATGAAGGCAAGAGTGAAGCCTTCTTCACTCTTATCAACGCATTTCTAGTTTTTAGTCTTGTGTCGAGACTTTCTAGTCTTCTTGTCTTTGGCAATAGCCATTCTAATTCAACATATTATCATCTTTGAGTAGTTTCCTAGTCTTTTGGAGTGACATAAGAAAGTATCAAAGATTTTTTTCTTCAAGATTCATGTCCTTAACAAAAGGCCTCATTGCCACCATTTGGTTATGTCTATTTTGTAATTCTTGCACTTAATTGTTTGATCAATCTCATGTTATTATGTAATAATATGGCTATTAGATAAAAGAAGAAAAGAAATATTTTATTATAGAAGAACTTACAAGAAAATATTTTAGCAAATTATCTTAGAAATATAGATAATAGATAAGGAGATATTAAAAATTAATAAATATTAATACTATCTTCTTGTAGAAGAAACTCTACTTACTTTTATTGAGGCATAAATGAGCCAAATAAAAGTAAATGAGATAAATAATTAATAAAGGCATCTTTAGGAGGGATTTAAGAATAGATTTTAGCAAAAATTATCTTAAAATACCAAGAATTGATATCCAAAGAGAACAAGTTGTGAACCAAATTAAAATTAGACCTTGAGGCATAAAACTCCACACCTATAATGACTTCAAGGTTCTTTCGTCAACTAGAGAGCAAGATTTGGGAGAAAATTTGTGAAAGGATTTTTAAAAGTTGATTTCATCTGATTTGAGATTATATTGAGGTACTGAGAGCTTTTCAAAGAGAGAGATGTATTCTATGGATTTGGATTTTAAGAAATAAGAAGAAGTTCACAAATTTAATGATTTTGTGAGTTTTGTAATATATTTAAAAGTGAAAATTTGTCAATTATTTGGTGTACTTATTGCAAATGTGTGTGAGAAATTTTATACCAATCAAGCAGTTAGAACAAAGGCTATGAGAGTTTTTGTGGGATATGGTCCCAAATAATTGAAATTTGGGGTTAGAAAGGGTTTTTGCAATTTGGAAAAATTCACTGGTTTAATTAAGGCAAAAATTGATGAGATCAATTAAGACTTAAATGCATAAAAACCAGACAATTTTTGAAAGCAATTGAATGGTTCAATAAGGATAAATCTTTGTTGGGAGATCAACATTTAAGTTGGAAAAGGAAGGTGGCCAACATCCAAGAGGTTTTGGGAGCTTTTCCTTAAAGTAGTAAATTTGATTCTTTTCGAATTTTGTGTGCTTGTAAATTGCTTGTGGATTGAAGTTTGAGTGAAATTTTAGTCTTTATGTTATTTTTGTAAGTTCTTTGATACTTCTTTTGGAGTTTAATTAAAGATTTCTTAACATTGTTGTAATTTAATTAGAGTTTGTTTAGGATTCTATTAGAGTTGTTAGGATCTTCTTTTTGCAAGTTTTGTTCTATCTTCTACATCTAAGTATCTGGTACATTTTTAAGCAAACTTCACAAAATACAATAGTACTCTTATTTTCAATCTTGATCGAACTTTGTATTGCTTTTTTTGCTCTTGGCTATGCTTTTATCATTTGCCTTTGTTCTCATTTTTTGTCAAGAATCATATTCTTTTGCTTTGTCTCTTTTTTCTTGCTCTTGTTTTTTTTAATTGTATATATATATATATATATAATATTTTTTAATGATCTTTATGGTTTTTTATTTTTTGGTTTTTTTAAATTATATTATTATTATTATTATTATTATACTTCCCTGCCTATGGCCAAAGATTCGAATATGCTGATTTCAAAATGATTTGTTGGCTATAGTTTGGGCTAATAGTCTTGTTTCAATGCTCACCACGCTTCTTTTTTCTTATCCTTCTCTCCCATTGCTTTTCTTTCCTTTTCTTAGTCATCTTTTATTTGTAAATTGTAAAACAAATACAACCAAATGGTGGCAATGAGGCTTGTGGACAGGAAACAGGTGCCAAGATTGAGGAGAGGTCAGCACAGGAGATGAAGGACTGGGAACATGGGAACATAGGGAATTAGATTGATTTAGTAAAAGCTTGATTCGCTTTAACATTTTTCTATATATGTAATGAAACCTTGTTACAATCAACTCCATTAAAGTTGAGTTCAAGTTATAATCAACATATTTTGTTGATTCCAATTTGTACTACCTACACTATACTATATTATATAATCAACAATTATTTTGATTCCAAGAGGTTGATGATATATATATATATATATATATACATGTATAAAGGTGTATATTTATATGTATATTAATAAAAAAAATCTACACTTAAGTATAAAAATTATAGTGAGAAAATGCATATTTTTGTTCCAAAATAATTTTTAATCACCTCCATCTTAACTTCTATTATAAACTTCTATTGTTAAAAACTCCTATTGAATTGATCAAATATACACATTTATACAAATATTTGTTTTAAAATCCAATGCAAAAATGAAAAGAAAACACTCTTACATGTTTATATTTTTTCATGTGTACAAAAATTGTTTTAATCAGCTCATTCTGCAACACCTACAGATATATATATATATATATATATAAATAAGAATTTCCAATTCTCCATCCTTATACATCAAATAGTTGATTTTTATTTATTTATTTATTTTTGATGTTAAACCACTAGATTATAAAACATCAACATCACTTGCAAAACATCAACACTCTTTGCAACAATATGGAATTAACATCAATAATCTATCAAATCGACATTGTGCCTGTAAACCCAATTTTCCAACATCAAATCTACTACAAAGTTTCTTACTACAGTCATACAAACATGTGTATTGCACCTACTACAACATCATGTTTGTAAACAACAGCTACTGTTCCATCTCTTATTTGCATTACAATCAACAGGAAAAGGTTGAAGCTGCACAGTGAGTTACCCCAAAACCCCACAGTGTTGTGGTTGAGCAGCTAATCATCTTCAGCAGCTTAACTACATGAGAAATGCAGCAGCCCAGTAGATCCCCTTCAAAAATGCCAATGAAACCCTAGTCCAGTGATGGGTACCTTTGACATGCCAATCAATGGGGTGGAGCCTTGGAAGCCACACACAAAATTGTGTGCACAATACCAACCTTGTAAAAGCCTCCCCCCCTGCCTTGGAAGCATTGAAGCCACACAACTAGTCAGAGTATGAGTTGGTATTTGGAGTTGATGTGTGAAGATTGGCTCATGGGCTGGTAAGTAGTGAGCATGTGATCTTAAGACACACAGACCACAAGTTTGCTTGTAGACCAGAGCACCCACCAGGCACCATTTGATGGGTCTATGGAAAGTGCAACAGATCTGCACTTGTGGAGTTGGAGGTGTACACACCAAGGCTTCTGGGGGCAGAGAGGTCCTGGTCAATGGCAGGCTGCCAGGCTTCTTCCAGACTTAGCCACAGAATGCATTCACTAGCCAACCCTGCTGGTGTGCATTCCTATCCTTGCACTTTGTAGTCTCCTGGACCCTCTCCCATGCTGACTCTGCATTTGCTTTAGGTTTGTCCCATCTTGCAGCAGCCAGCACAGGTGGGCTAGGGCAAAGGTTGACATCGTGACCAAGAAATGTCTCCATTTTCTGGACCTGTTACAAGTTTATCATTCATGGATGACAGCACAAGATTAGCACTGGAACGAGGCTGAAGTCTTTGGAACAATCATGATTCCTTGCGTAGGGTTCTTCCTTGATTGGTGGGAGACGACATGCTGAGTACCTTAATTATCGCCAAATTTGAAGTTCCAACATCTGCTCGTTGTCAGGTTGCCGTGAGCGGAGTACACAACGCTTTTAACAAGGTGCTGTCTAATGACAAACTCTGAACTAATTCAGGTTTCCATGCAAGAGCCACGGCGTTCTGAGAACTTTTGAAGGGCAGGCTTCGACATAGATACCAAGGTTCAAAGGTTTGCACTGTTGTAAGGTACTTGGAAGTCGGACACACAAAAAGCAAAGCGCATTGAATGTCATTGAATACTAACCAAACTACAGATTCCTGGAAGCTTGCCCTTACCAGTGTACAATAGCCTTTGTTGGCTGCAGGGACAAATCATGAAAACTGCATTTGCACTTGGTATTCAAAATAGTGTTAGCAAAATGAATCTAGTCCCATGGCACACCCAAGTGAATCGATAATACTATTCCCAACACCAAGAGCGAATAAGCGTTAAAACTTTCTATCGAAGAATCCAAGAAATCTACGGTGCCTTGATTTAGATACAAAACGACAACGAATTAATCGAGAAGGTTGAATATTCTCTACAGAGAGAGAATTCATACAGTTCTAAATGTAGCAAATGAGGGAGAGGATCACAATTTCTGGTTTGTATCAGCAGTGATTATGGCCGGATGTAGAAGATGACATTACCGTTCGTGGTAAGATCTGCATTGTAGCATTGAACTGCAGCAACCTATGTCACGTCAACGTTTTGCAAAGCATCCATCTGACATGGTACATTCTAAATTCCAGCATTTCTTATTTCTAGCTGCTCCATTGTCCCAGTTACACACCTGTGTGAACTAAAGGGAATGAAAACAAGTGTCCATGGCATGTCAGTCGTGCTCTTGAAATGTGAAACCTACACCACACCGGAGGATCGCTGTGAGCCAATGCAGCAACAATTATAAATAATGGTGTGAGGCGTCATGAATGGAAGCAGCAAATTTGTAATAGTCACCGCGGCACTGTTGTCAAGGATTACAATGGTGCGGCTTCGTAATTTATCAAGGTGGGACTTATACAAAACATCTCAGGTACCAACAGGAGTGTGACATGTGGTCTTCTCAAATGAACAAGCACTACACTAAAAAGAGATCCCTTCAAACAACATGCGTTCCGCTAGCTATTCCAAGAGGGATCTAGTGAACACTGTTTCGTATTGTCACGCTTCAAGCACTGTGTACAACGTGTGCAGATATAGCTCCTGAATTAAAGGATGTTTGACAAGGTCCAGTAGAAGGCCATTCATTTTCAACTATTTAATTTCTCGGGATCAATGAAGCGGTCGATTCATTCAGCATGCCAACTACGGCCCAAACGACCACAATAGTAAGCCCTCTGCAAGCCGCTTGATACTAGATGGTACAGCAATAAAAAATTCCATGTTGCTCCGAAGACATGAAACTTTGAAATATTTGAAAACAAAGAAACTCGAGTCCCGTGGATCACATTCACAGGGAAGTTTTCAAAATTAAAAAGCACTGTACCTATCAAAAGAAATTCTGACCTTCTATCGATCGATCGTCACCAAGCCAGTCGTCGCCAACTCCTACCACAGAAAATGTCAGCCATTCACATATTCTTATAGATCTTTGACAGATTGTTGCATTGCGCAACAGATGGAGATCTTTTGGCCTCAGAAAATCTGGTAGCAGAATCCGAATAGTCATGCATAGCTCTTCGTGGAGTAAATCGTTGTGCTACAACCAGAACGACGATATTTATGTTCTCATGTAATCAGCAACTCTGATATAAGGAAAATGAGCGAACTCCTCGATACGAGTAGTAGCAAAATTAGATTTAGGAGACCAAGGTCTTTTTGTTTAAGAAATCAATCCTATGATCAATTTCGAATTGTAGCAGTTTCGAATTTGCTTCTTAGATTTCCTTGACGAACAAATAATTAACCTGCAAAGATCTTGAAAACAGCGGCGTCATTGGAAACGAAGCGAAAACGAAAAGGCCTGCTGAGGCTGGCACTTCCCACCAGAGCCAGTGGGCAGGCGAAAAAAATAAAATAAAATAAAAAAAATCCACATTTTACTTTTTCAAAAAGTTTGGGGAGATTGGTAAAATATGTGTATTAATTTATTTGCAATTGCTAGATTAGTTTTGAGTACATTGATGTTAATCTTGATTATACACCTATTTTCCGTATGCTGCTATTATTGGAATTATCTGAAGGTTTCAAATGGTGATCTGGACTAAAAACATTAATACATACCTATCTTTACTATTATTATTATTATTATTATTTCCTCTACTTTATTGTTTGAGTGATTGTATGCTTTTGACGTTGGGGTTTAAAAATGTTGAATCATTTAAATTATAAAACACATGTGAATAATTATATGTTGAAACCCTTGTGAAAAGAATTACAATACGAGTTACCATGTGTATTGAAAATTACTTCCAATTCTATTCATTTATTTATTTGACATATTATATGAAATGAAGTAAAAATAAATAAATCAGAACATTACTCTAATCCTGCATATACATACTCACACACGAAAATACACACACCCACACGTCCACATAGAAAGTTGTTTCAGCTTCCCGGTCTGATCGGGTTCTATCCGGCGCGAACCATCGACGACGGGTAGCCTGAAAAGCTGAATCTCGCTGTGGAGATGGTGCTGAGGGCTTTCCCATTGTGCGCTCCCTGGCGCCCTCGAGCAATTTTGGTTCAATGCCTAATCAATCTTGTGCTTCGGAGGGTCTCTGCTCAGGACGCCAGCGGAGCGCCGGCGGTGAAGGACTTCTGCAGGTACGATTATGAAATGTGCTTGACTAGGTCGAGTTTGATAGTCTCTTCCAGCTTTTAACCCTCGGTGTTGGGATCGAGAAAGAATACGGGGTTTGTAAGGCGGTTGGATTGACAGAGAGCAGTACATTTGACAATCCCGAGGGTGAACCTCCGAGAGCTGTTGTTTAGGTTTCTACTGGGGTTGATCAGTGCTGCGGGGTGGGTTTATGGCTACGGATTGGATGCTACTGGTAGGGGGTTGCGATTTGGGGAGTCGGGGGTTTGGGGTCGCACGAATTCTAATTTCTCTTTTCGCATTGAATTTGAAGGTCGATGCTCGGATACGGGAGTTGGGATTCTGACGTGGAACTGTTTAAATTCTTTTGTTAATCTCAATAACGAGGATAGGGCAAACGTCTTCTTCTTGCTTTGAACACAGTCTGCTGTGCATGTGTTGCCCAACGTTTGGTTCAATGTACCGTGCAATGTGAGGGTTATGAATCCGTTCTGTGATGAAAGGTGAGTTGTCGGGTTTGTTTTTCTTTGTCATAAGAAGAGAGTATTTTTAGCACAGTAGATTTCATTGTGGTTCGTTTGAAATGATGTCTCGGATGCTTATTCAGCACTCATGAATTCTCGAGGATTACCACCATTTCAACTTTCTAGTATCTCGTTTTGTATAGAATTTAAAAAACCGAGTGCTTGGAGTTCAGGAATTGTATACTTCGGGAATGTGGCAAGCTGAATGATCTGCTCCAGGATTCTGTTGACAGCTGTGGGCCCGTCCTGTTGTTCAGAAAAATCTGGATTCTCTGCAACACTGAAATTCGTTTGATAATGTCGGTGTTATCTAACCAGATTTCGCGTCTGGTTCGGTGGTTATTGCATCTCTTCTATGTAGAACTAATTCATATTTTTTAGGCGATGTACCTTTTCTAACGTCATTGAGCTTTCTGTGTATGGCATGTTGCAGCACGTTGGGCAGCAGTGACCTATCAATAAACAAGGGCAGCAGTGACCTTGCGGTGCTTCCACATACTCATCTCGTCAGCAACCCACAATGAGCACACCAGCCGCCATCGCTGGTGTGCTTCCTGCTACCATCCAGCTGCTGTCCAGTAGCCATCTCACGACTCTCTGGTCTTCGTATGGACACATTTATCGTTTGAGCGTTCGATTGGAGGCTTCTTCCACATCCCCGCGAGTGTCACTTATACTAAAAACGGTAAATCCTCCCGCTGTTTCAGCTGCAGATGAGTCCCATCTTCGAAAACTCGTGTCCTACCGTGTTGAACGATACTTCTACTCCAAGCTTTCCTCTGCCTTGTCTCCCCCTAACTCTGCGCGAGTTGCAAAACATTACCCCGTGGCAGAGAGAGCCAGCAACGACAGCTTGCTTCTGGAGGATTTGAACGTGGAGTTTCCTGTCTCACCTGGGAGCGGGCTAGGATTGGAGCGGACGCGGATAGTGTTGAAGTGGCTGGCAAAATTCCACGCTACTTTCTGGGGTCTCCCTAACGATCCCTCTGTGTCTCTCATACCTCCTCCGTTCAAAGTCTCAAATCCTTCGGAAGCGCAGGGAGCTTGGGCGCAGGGTGGTTACTGGTACCTTGACACTCGCCAAGAAGAATATTCTTGCATTGGCAGTGAGTGGAAAGCTTACCTACCACAATTTCAAGCTGCCGCCAAGAAACTCAAGACAGAAACAACTGGGAGAACTTTGATCCACGGCGACTGCAAAGCCGCCAACATTCTCTTTTCTGCAAACTCGTCCACATGTGCGCTGTATGATTTTCAGTATGTTGGTGGTGGACTAGGGGCACAGGACATAGTCTACTTCATAGGAACCAGTATCGATGGATCTATTCTTCGCAAGAAACCTGGAGCTGAGGAACTGTTGCAGTATTACCACTCCGAACTGCAGCAAGCATTGAATGCACGGGGATTGTCTGCAGAGGCGGACTCTTTCACTCTTCAGGTATTGAAGGAACAGTTCGATGTTGCCCTCGTGGACTGGATGCGGTTCATGGCTGGCTGGGGAAGGTGGGGAAATGCTTCGTGGGTAGAAACAAATGTTCGGCGGATCCTCAGCAGATGGACGGCGGTGGGCTGCCCCTAGCTTAGTGTACATTGTGCAACGATCCATCTAGAGTTGTATACATCACTTGAATCAATTTACAAACCACTTTGCGAAATACACAGAGCAAGCCTTGATCGTTACAAAGAACGAGGCTTCTCACCACATTTGCTTGCATATCATCACCTTTTGTATAAACAAATTGTTGCCATCTCGTCGTCTCCAATAACACTGAGTTCTGCACACGGATCCTCCAAAAATTAAAACACCAGACCCTTTACCAAAACTTTCTGAAGTTCCAATCAATGAGGCATTCTACTAGAAACGGCCTTATCTCCCACCTACAGAGGCCCCCCTCCTCCCACGACCATCGTAGAAGAGCATCGATCAGTGCAGAGGAACACAGCGTTTCGTCTTCTTGTGTGAAGTGTCGCGTCCACGCGGCACCACTGCGACCCCCTAGGACCCGCCAAATTCCCCACGTGGCGAGCGTCTGGGCCGGGGCCTTATGCGGGACTCGTCTTCTCAATGTGCCTTGCTCTGCTCCGGAGGTTCCATTGACTGATTACTCGCAGTTGCAGAGGATTCTTCCTTTTATGATGAGATCTTCGAGAGGTTAGGAGAGGAGAACGGCAACATTTCATCGCGCAATTTATATTAGGATCGGTAGAGTTGGTAGGTTCTGTGCAGAACTTGTGTAGGAGGGGAGATGGCATTTGTTGCAGTGAGGCCGTTGCGCGCCTCGTTGTGTGTGGCTCAGCACCCTGGGTTAGGGTTTCGGCGGACGCAGCAGGTGAGAGGTCGTGTTGCAGTGCCAGCGTTGCGGTCCAGATTACTAAGCGTGAGGTGCAATGCGAGTGAGGGTGAGAGTGAGAGGTCTGAGGCTGAAGATGTGAAGAAGGATTTGAAGACAGACTCTGCCGATGAAGAGTTTGGGGGTTGGTCTGCGGCTGAGCCCGAGGATGAGTCTCAAGGCAGTAGCTGGAAAGCAGGTGTGTTCTATTGCCTTTATGGATCCTCTCGTGTGACTGCCATATTGGCTTTCCCTTCGCGATTGGCATTATACAACATGTGATCCGATGTATATAGCAATCGGATTTTCTACTAGATGTTCCCGCTCAATTCTATTCGGAATTTCTCTAACGTTATGAGATCTGAGAGCCCCGCTAGGAGCCTTGTATCACGTTCTTTGATACTTTCATTGCTGCATTGCCTGAAGTGTTTTGGGTTTATTGGAAGAATTATCGCTATGGAAAATTGAAGCTAGTACAATGATGCCAGTTAGCTAGTCTGGATTCCGGAGTATTTTGATTGAGAATAATGGGTATTGAAAGTGCACTCGTAGAGTGCAGGCATCGATACCACAAGAATTTTCTCTGAACAACGGCGAATACGCTTTGTTTATCAGTTTGTCCCTAGTCCTATGCTTCCTGTAGCGAGTCATAGAATCCTGGTTTAGTTAGAGTATCAGTGGATCATGGCACATCTTTAGGGCAGCATCTTAGTATACTGGTGTCTCTATTTTATTTGAACCGAATTAAGGGGTGTCCTTTCAATTCGGTAATCCATAAGTTTTCGTATCGAAAGGATCATAAATTAGTAAATCCGTGCTTTTTCAACTAATCTTTTGGTTTGAAATTTTAATCTTATTTCTCATCTCGCGTACATCTGCAGAAGAGACTTTATATGCGAGGCAAATGCAGTATTATGTTTGAGACATGGCAGGCATGAGAGCTCAAGTTTGTTTATAATTTTCAATTTATTTCTACTAGCTTTGAATGGATCGAAGCTTGTGATGCAGGTCTTCTGCGAATTGGAGCTGGTTTTGTGCTAGCAATCGGCGTTTCATTGATCTCTTACACTTACTGGCAAAAGCAAGGTATCCCACATCGTAACGTTGTGATTGGTAGAATTTTCATCGTTGTTAAGATGTTAGCGATTCGTCACCTTGCGATGCGATTTTTGCTATCATAGGTTAGTCCTGAAGTTGGACTTTTAGTATCAAGTAATTAATCCTTTCGTTGAAATTTTACTAGTGGCTGAAAACACACTCGAAATGGGATTGCAGGAAGGACATTGGCGCCGAATCAGCCTTCTCAGACTAGTACGCAGGAGTCGAAAGCAGTGCAGGAAGCACCTCAGCAGCAGGAGGCCTTATCAAAAGCATCATCGAATGAAGCCGACCATGGTGATGAAGCAGCGTTTGTTGATGTTTCAGAAAGGAATGACGATGATTATATTGATGAAGAACTTGATGAAGGTAATTATTCTGATAAGCATCAAGATCAGGGTGAAGAAAAAGAGCAAGGTGATTCAAACCAAGTTGATGCAGAAGAAACCGATGATATTGACTCAGGTATTATCAAGCAGGAGCTGCGGTCTCCATCTTCTGAACCCATTAGAAAATCTTCTGATGATCTCCAGAATTGGAAAGGAACTTGCTGGTCAAGGGTCTCTCAATTAGGACTTCTGTTCTGAGGCTCTGAGACAACAATTAAGACATCAGGCCGTAAGCTATTATGTGGCGGTTCCTCTCTCTCTTTGTTCGTATAACTTAGAGGTTGACATACCGCAACTGGAAACCTGTATTCATGGACTTTTCTTGTAAGTCTTTGGTCCATACTCAAGATGTTTACAGTTGTGGGCGTTTTTCCTGACAGATAACATCAGTGTGTGATCTGATCAACCAAGTTTAGAAGTAGTTCAAGTAACCTAAGTGCCAGTCTGAAACTTTCGAATGTGGTTTTGATCAAATTCTGAACATGCCTTCGGTGCCTCTACAGATTCACAGGGTAGGGATTTGAAGATGGTGGTGCTCACTGTTGTTGATCGCATGCAAGAGATGGCTGTATCAGCTTTGCAGGCTTTAAAGGTTGCTTTATCTCTTTTTGCAACGACATCTCGAAATAGCCTCTGATTTTGTTGCCGTGAGCTGCGTCGTTGCTCCTGCAGTTTCGGGAACTCTTCAAGCTTATGGAATACGCTGGAGTTAATGTCGCTGTTTATCACAAATTTGAGCATTTGTCGCTTAGTCGGAATTGTCAACCTATCTTTATCTCTTTACATTCCTTGTTATTCCACTGAATATGGAAAACGCGTCTGAACATGGGTGTTCTCTGTATCGTTGTTCACGAAGGTTGTAGAAGATGAAGTTGACCCTGGAGCGATATGCATCCGGAGAAATTATGCTCGTTGGTTGATTGCCACTAGCAATACTTTGTCGAGGTAAAGAATCATTCCATTGCGTAAACTCACCAGCTTAAGCTCCTCATGATCAACACTACATCTATTTGATATTTTTGTCAGATGTTCATCTTGGTGGTCCTATTATTTGATTTTTAATCATAGAAAGTGAGGTTGCATTTTGAAGGGTCATGAGGTTGACTTTTGGAAGTTGTGCTAATTATATATGATGTTAATCGTCCAAGTGGACACTCGATTGTTTTGATGATGCATAATGTTACTTTTTTGTTGGATGTGTAGGAGCTCTGCCACTAAAGTACTTCCTGCAATGTACATAGAAGGGGAGACAGAACTTGCTTTTGATGACATTACGCCTGAAGATCCAGATTTTCCTGCTATTCAAGGTATAAACCTGTTCGTTTCTATCGAATCCTCTTCTTTTGGTAAAACCAGTATCCAATGTAATCGTTAGGCAAGTCATCTAGTGTAGGTTCTGGAGATGCTTGTGAATGTGTTTTTAGTTGATGAAATTTGTATATGCTTAGATTGTTGAAAGCAGTAACAACTACATTGTGTAGTCTCATTTCTGATTTGATTTTTGAGCGTTCAGGTCTAGCAGAAGCAGGACTCATTCCTAGTAAGCTCTCAAGTGTTGATATACAGTCTGCTGAGAAAGCTTCTAGCGGGGTCCGTTTTTCCCCTGACAGGTATGTTCACAGAAATGTTTACATTGAGTTAGTTCTGAAAACAAAAATCAAACCAGGTTTTTCATGTTATATATGTTTGATATTATATATGATAGGATATGTACACTTCCTGGATTTAGATTCTTGATGGCTTGAAGCTTTCGAACTGATTTTTGTACCACTTTCCTTTCAAGTGCAGTCCATTGACGAGGCAAGACCTTTTGAGCTGGAAAATCGCGCTTGATCGGCGTTCTCTTGCAGCTATTAGCAAGGAGGTGACTACAAATTACTTCTGCCTAAGCAATGGATTTTACCAAGTTGAATTGATATTTCGTCGATTACTGCAAATTCCTTCTGACAAAGAGCCAACTTTTGCAGGATTTTCAAGCACAATCTGGATTCATGGATGCGGATTATATTGAGAGCAAATTGTGGCCAGCAATAGTTAGCGATCTGTATTCTGGAGATAGCAGCATCATAGCTACTGCTTTCGGTACATAGCTCACTGAATTTGTCATTGTGAAAGTTCCTTAATGTTGAGTATTTGTGCATGGTCATACTATTAAGTTTATTTTTAACTGTCACAGCACGTTGAATCTCGAGGTATTTGTTTTTCAGGGTTCACAAGAATGTTTCAACCCCAAAAGCCTGCGACAAATGGTCAAGCAGCAATTGCACTTGCATCTGGAGACACCTCCGATTTGTTTGGAGAAGAGTTAGCAAGGCTTCAAGCAGAGAGAATGGCAGATGATGCAGTTGCGGCAGATGCTGCAATGGAAGCGCGTGCACAAGAGGAGGTGAAAGCACTATATAGTGGAGAAATTGAGAGTGAGAGGAAGCGGAGAGAGGAGGTTGAGAAATCGTTTGAGGAAGTCAAATCCAACTTAGAAAGGGTCGAAGCAGAGAGACAATCCGAAAAGGAGACCATGATGAAGAGCCAGGCTGCCGTTGTAGCGGAGAAAAAGCTGTTGCATGATTTATATCAAAAAGTTGATGACCAACTGCAGACCTTATCTACACTTCGAGCGGAAGTTGCTAATGAGAAAGAAAGACTCCATAAGCTCACTTCAAAAGTAGAAGTAGACCAAGAGTCGGCCTCCAGGTTGAAGGCGGACCTTGAATCAGAGAAGAAAGCACTTGTTCTTGCAAGGTATCACTTCAATTCAATTACGACTAATGAGACTAGGTCTTCCGATTAATTGTACTTAACAGAAAACGTAGTTTCCATGTCATTCGAGAATCGCTGTAGTTTAATCAATTTAATTTGGCGTTTCTTTGTTTGAGTAGAACATGGGCAGAGGAGGAAGCCGAAAAGGCACGGGAGCAAGCAAGAGTTCTAGGAGAAGCAAGGCAACGGTGGGCAGGTCGTGGCATTGACGTTAATGTTGATAAATCCTTTGACGAGGATAATGTTCCTGGGCCAAGTTGGCGGTTCGGTGGAGCTAATACGGAAACTAATAAATCGATTCAGCGTGCACCTCTGCAAGATGTCATGGATAAGGGGCAAGACCTGAAGACCAAGGTCAATAACAGTATTGTGACATATTGGCATGCATTCTTGGACGTGCTTAGCCGCTTTGTTCAAAGAATAAGGGAGTTGTTGGAGTTAATGAGGAGCAGAGTGTCCCAAGTAATTCAGAGCGTCTTTGTGTCTACTAGGGACAGGGTGCAGGATTCAGGATCCGTTGTTAGTGGGAAGCTGCGAGGTGCAAAGAGTGCTGTATCAGATATGTCTGCGGTTGCAATAGATGGGACCAAGAGATTTGCTGATGGCTGTAAAACTGAGGTTGGAAGGATTGCACAACGATTCAAGCGTGATTAAGTGCTGGTGATTCAAGTTCCCCTTAGCGTTGCAGATCAATAGTGAGCTAGTATTCTAGAATTTATATTTAAACTACTGAGCTTTCAAAGGGATCTTGACATCCCCACTAGTTTGTGAACTGGTTCTACCTCTCGATCAAATGCTTCTACATTTCTTGGTGGACACCTGTTGACCCGCAGCATACTTTGTCCAACCGTACTTAAGGCTTGGCGAACTCAGCAAATGGAAGGTTTTCTCAAAGTTTGCAGGCATTGGGGCTAAATTGATTTATCTGTGAGAGATATGCAGAGCTTCTTGTAGGTCTACTCGTTACTGTTATAATGATTTAAATCTGAAAGTCCAGGTGAATAATCCAACTAAAGGACGGAGGAGTGCAGATAATTACTTAAGGAAAAACATAGAAAATTTATAGGCTTCTGATACAGAGATCAAGAATCTTAGCTAATTGTTCTCAATTGTCTTGATGAAATGCCAAAAAGTCAAAATCATAGTCGTACCTTTATTTATTTATTTATAAAGAAGCTTAAAAGTTCTGTTTAAAGAATACAAGTGAGTTTTTTGCAACATACATTTGGGATTTTTTACATTATTGATATTCTTGTTTTTTTTTTTTTTTTTTTTTTTTTTTTTGGTTTGTTTTTATCATGTTTATAACTTACATCAAGATGAAAATTTCGTTTGTTTTAATAATTTGTAATTGTTTTTGTTTCTTCTTATTTTTGTACAAACTAATGGACTAAATGTATGACAAATGCATTATAAATGGAAGCATACAAGATAATAATATAAAAATTATAATATAGATTTAAAGATTTAACTATCATTATAAATTGATAGCAATAATAATGTCATCAATTATTAGTATATACTAAACTAGTCAAGAACCAAATGTGGATAGAACAAGGGAATTAACAACCTCAAATAAAAATGCCAAGTTTCAATAGAACAAGCACCTCTTTCCGTATAAATGAGAGTGTATTACTTACAACTTACAAAAGACACCAATAATAGTTACACTTCTACTTGACCAACCATATTCTAAGTGAGTAGATTACTTTTGCTTCTTTAAACAATTATGCTAGAAATTTTTATTTAATTAAGCCTTAAAACATTATTATAGACCAAGAGGAATTTTTTAGTCAAAAGTAGATTTTTATTTAAAAATATGGTCATTATTTGTTTTGTTGGCAAAAAGTCTAATTCTAATATCTTTTTGGCATAGAAAGAACAATTGACTCATGCTATATCAATTACATATATTACTTAAGAAAATATAAATAAAATAGATAATTATAAAAATAAGTAGAAGTATCTTGGCCACATATTGTCTACTTGTTTTGGTAACTACATGGTCTTTTTAGTAGCTAGTACATATAATAACATGTATAAGGTCATATTCACTCTAGTTAACACCTTTCTTATATTCTAGTCTTAGTTTAAGATTCTATAGTTTCTTTATATTTAGTAATTATCATTTTATTTCTTTTCTCTTATATAACTATTTGTCAAGGACATGAACTTCAAAGAACTAAAATATCAATACACTCTTAAATTACTTGAAAAGACTAAAAAATCATTCAAAGATGATATAGTATTAAACTAAAATGGCTATTGCCAAAGACAAGAAGACTAAAAAGCCTTGAAATAAGACTAAGGACTATAAAGGCATTGAAAAGAGTGAAGAAGGCTTCATTCTTGCCTCCATATATATTTTTAACTAAGAACTATGTGGCAATGTCATATAGGACCTCCAAAACATGTTGACTTTGCAACACACGTATCTTAACTTGCAAGGCAAGTTTTTTATATGTGTGCCACATAGTTAGCTTGTTTTGTAAGCTATCAACACATGATTAACTTATTGACCAAGTTTCTAACCTATCAATCAACTGCAAACACATATAAAGTCAAAGTAGCATCTATGGAGCTTCTAAGAAGCATTTAAAAAAAAATGAAATAAATCTATTTTTGCCTATTCTAATTAATTATATAGATAAATATTAGAGTAAATATAAATGTCCATGACATTACCTTTTCTTTTAAGGATGAGCTATAGAAAGAGCAATCATCATATGTTGAAGAAATCCAAGATGTGGTGAATTGTGTTTGCCACATACTCTAATCTTTGTTCTTTTTAAAGATAGTTGATAGGTCTTCTCAACTATCAATAGTGTCTTATATTAAGATAGAAAGACCACCATGTTATTTGATTGTTGTTGAAGCCTTTGTAACTTCTTTTAAATAAAATATTTGGAACATTGTTAGGAATTGTTCCTACGTCTAATAAAATCACCAAATATTGGAAGTCTCTTTTAAGATTGTGACACCAAACAAATTATATCTTACCATTTATTTTAAGAAGGACATGTCGTTCTTGAAGATCTTCATCTTAATTACATTGTCTTGAATATTGTGACAATTGTAATATTTTATTTGATAATTTAACAAGTGATAGCTCTTGAGTTGAATCTACTAGTTGTTGATTCTCCATGTCTTTAGCGTCACAAATATACAAAAGTTACAAACAAGAGTAGAACGTAGAATGCTATCTTTTTTTGGATCTTGTTTCTTTTATAGCAAAGATTTACTATTCTTCATCTTAATTTTGATGGATATTGTCGATGAAAAACCTCAACCTTCCTTATTGTATTTGCAAGATTTTTTGTTTATTGGCACAGATACTAATATAGTGACTCAAAAAATTGTTTCAATATTGACATATTTTGGAAAGAATGGTGTATTATACATGAATTTTAAAGAATAATGACATGTGGTTTGTATAGCAAATAAACTACTCTTTTATAGCTACCAAATGACTCCAAATTGAAAAGAATCCAATAGATAATTGTGAAGGTATGACCAATCTAATTTGGAACAATATTAAAATATTTTTTTGAGTGTGGTATTCAACTACATATCAATATTTTGTAGGACCTCTTTTGACCTTGATAATTACTTCCAACCTCCTAGGCATACTTTCCATTAACTTTTGGCACAAAATTGCTTCAATATTATTCTATTTTGCAGCTAATTTTTCTTATAATTTCCAAATTATCTTTCGTTTTATCTTGTAGGTGTCAAGCTGTCATTTGAGGTCTTTCCAAAGTTTTTCAATAGAATTAAGGTCAGGAGACTAAACATGTCAATCCATTACTTTAATTTCATGATGATTAAACCACTTCTATACTAATTTTGAGTTATGCTTGGATTCGTTGTCTTGCTGAAAAATCACCTCCTTTTTAGAAATGCCAAATTCTTCAATGTTAGGAAGTAGGTTTTTTTTAAGAATTTCTACAAATTGCTTGGCACCCATCTTCTCCTCAAGCTTTGCCATCCTCTCCATTCCATTCCATACCATACAATCCTATACTATTATATTTCTACATCCATGCTTAATTGTTTCGTAGATCTTTTTATCAAGTATGGATTGATCCTTTTATTTTTACACTGACTTTCTGCTATTTGATCCAAATCTATTGATTTTTGTCTCATTTGACCAAATAATCCTCTTTCAATCCTCTATAGTCCATTTCTTGTACTTTAGAGCAAAATCCAAGCATTGTTTTTAATATCTAGTAGATAATATATATATATATATATATATATATATATATATATATTTCTTCACTATGGCTTTCATATTCTATTTCTTAAGAATATTTTGAATGATTTGAATTGACATAAGATTATTGATAATATTGTTAAGGTTTTTAGTGAGCTCAAAAATATTTTTCATTTTTTTTTTTTAATTTTGACATATTTATTTATCAAAATAAATATGTCAAAATTAAAAAAAAAAGAATGAAATTGATAGCAAAAGTGATTCCAAAGACTCCTATTTATACTACAATGAAGGTTACAAAAGTCTATGGTACTTTCTATAGAAGTTTGTAGAAATCTAAAGAAGCTTTTAGAAGACTATGGAACTTTTTAAAAGATTATAAAAGATTCTATAAGTATTTAGAAGATTCTAGAAATTTGTAGAAGATTTTAGAAGGTCTTCGAATGTGATAGTTTGAAATATGTCCATGCCAAGAATTGTAATTAAGAATGGTACTTTTATAGGTACTAATAAATATTAATGATGTCATTAGATTAATAATAATATTATCATAATAAATCTGATGATGATAGAATGCTGTAATATTGAGTAATTGATAGAATCCAAAAATTATACACCACAGTCAAAAAATTATTTTATTACTATTTCAAATTATATTGGTCATAGCTTTGCAATTACCTCATGGATTCTTTTCAAGTTGGACTCATTTAGTAGCTGAAAAAGAGTACTTTATTTGCTATACAAATCACATGTCATTATTTAGTATAATTCATCTATAATATACCATTCTTTTCAAAATATGTAAATATTGAAACAATTTTTTGAATCATTGTATCATTTTGACGCTAATAAACAAGATATTTTTTAATCTATTTTAGTACCACCTTGAATCTAAGACTTCTTCCACCTTAAACTTTTACTTATTATCCACTTCTATAGGAAGAGGTGGTATTTGTCTTCTTTCTAAGATATTCATTGTCTTATATGGCTCAAGAAGAGATACATGGAATATGGGATGGATCTTCATAGATTCTAATAGATATAATCAATAAATAACAAGATTGACTTATTTACTAATAGGAGATGGTCCAAGCCTACAATAGTCAAACTTGTCATAAGAACAAGTAGTCTTGATATTGTCACGTAGTAGCTATATCTTGTCATCTATATTAAATTGTGGTTGTTCCTTACAATAGACATCTACATTAATCTTTTTTTATTCTTGAGCTTTGTTTAACTGAGCCTTCATTGTTGCTTGTAGCTCTGATAAATAATTTGTCAAATCTTTTGTTGTAAGATTATGAACTTTTGAAAAGTTAAAAATATCAAGTTGTAGATGATAATCATAATTAGCAAAGAAAGATATTTGTTGAGTAGAAAAATATATTGAATTATTGTATACAAACTTTGTCAATGACTAAAAAGTTGTCCAATCATCTTGATGAAAATTGATAGTACACTTCAAATATTGTTCTAGAATTTCATTCATTCATTGTTTTATGGTGTGGTTTTTTATTTGTAAATACATTGGATACTTGGCTATAGAGAGTTTAGCTTTAATTTATTGGCCAAGTTCTAATAAGTGATATATTCTTATTTATAAGACAAATAAATATAAAAATATCAAAGATATTTTATTAATAAAAATTATTTTATATTTATAAAGCTTTATACATAAGGCTTTCTAAAGCATCTAGAAA